GGGCTCAGGCTCAGGCTCAGGCTTGGGGTCAGGACTCAGCCCAACATGCCATGGGCCCAATCTGGGCTTTAAGCTCAAGCTGTGCCTGCATATCACTAGCTGAATATTTGTTTGATTTTTAAGTGTACAGTGTTCACCGGTGCCTTGTGCGCACATTGTTTACCTATATTTGCCCATATACAATATTGCCTTTCATTCATATGTATGACATAACGTGAAGTAGCTGTCTACCTGCCAAATACCTCTCTTGAACCTTAACAACACAGACCACAGCTGTGGCTATTTTTTTGAGCTCCTGCCTTTGAGTTCATCAAATATTCAGCCATGTCAAACACTCCCTCAATATCAGACTCTACGCAACAGTATTTCTGTGATGCCTTACAGTACATAAAGACAGTCTGGCAATGCATGAATGGTATATAGCACTTCTGAGATAGGCATCTGGTACACTCTTCTGGCCTTCTTGAGACTCACACACTGTCTTCTCTTTGACTCATTAGGCTGAGTAGTGTGGTCTCAAAACTGATTTGTCCAGAAATTAGCTTAGTATACTGCTAGTCTACCTGTACATGCAGTTCAAAATCAAAATTTGTTTATTTGTGTCATATTTATCAGGGCAGGACTGGTCTGAGCTGGTCTGAATCGGTCTAAGACCGCATTTGGTCCTAGACTGGTTATGACTGGTCCAGGACTGCACGGAGGACTGTACAGGACCAGGACCCAGTCTTGGTCCGGTCCTGCACAAACAGATGCTGGTCCTTGACCAGTCTGAGTCCTGGTCCCACCCAATTTTTAAAAAAGACTGGACCGGACCGGACCCTCAACCACTAAATCATATCACATTCACATTTATAGTCCATTTGTGTAGTACGGACACCAACGCGTACGTATCGGTAGGATAGATTTCAGCCGCCACTAGCACCGAACATTCTAATTCGAGCAAGCTATGTATCCGCTAGAATGGCCGACCGTATGAGACTCTCTGATCCTGAATATCGCGACACGAAACGAGCCTCGAATGGCTTGGGCGGGCTATGGGTATGTAAGCGCAACCGAACTTTTGGGATCAGCAGTCGGTGTGCCCACCTGAATACGTGCGGGGCAAATTCCTCCTTGACCTCGATGACCTTGCCGTTCTCGTCCACGGCTTTCTCGATCGTGAAGACGGCTAGAAGGTTGGACACGGCTATGAAGAGCATATCGAGAACGAAGTGACGGCCGGCACATATCCTGCGTCCGTACCCGAACGTCTCCGTGGGGAAAGGAACGTCGTCCCGCAGTTTTCCGTCTGCGGAGAGGAATCGTCTGGGGTTGAATGTGTCTGGGTCCGGATATATCTCTTCGTCGTGGAGAATGGCCCTGGCAAGGCACGCTGAGTCTTACACACGACACACGGCGATTCACCTACCAAGAATTTCCCATGACCACTGAGCCCGCCGGGATGTGATAGCCATTGTACTCATCATCGGTCATTGCACGGCGCGGAGACGCTGGAGACCAACAGCCGTTATTTAGAGGCATGTGATTCGAGATAGACACGAACCTAGAGGGAGAGGTGAATGCCACCTATTCAGATTGTGAGCAAAGGCGCTGCGATACGTATATAATTGGCTGTACACACCGTAGGACCTCGTATATCACGGCCGTGACGCAGGGAAGAGAATTCTGGTCATCCATCTCTGGTAAGCGATCCCGACCAACGACGCGATCGATCTCCTCTTGTACCAGGGCTTGTGCCTCCGGGTACAGAACCATGGCGAGGACGAATGTGGAAAGTACGATGACCGTCTGCGGTTGCATCAGTTTGAGTGCAACGCGTGTGCAGTCCGCCACGCACTGTGTCTGCGCCAGCTATACGCAATCACTCCGAGTCAGCATGTGCGACAATGTACTGCAGGGCGAGGGAGTCCTACCTGCATATGTCGTCCCTGTGATATTCATAAATATCTCGTCAGACGTTGACAGATCTGTCTCGCCAGTGTCGGACAGCAAGGATGCCGCGAGACACGGCTGAGCGCTGCCGTCTTTCTAGCAGAGGTATGTAGCCCGACATAGTGAGGTATGTGCGAGAGCGGAACTCCGAGAGGGAGCGCACCATTGCTTTTTTGAACTGGTGGTAAGGCTCCTCGTACATGGCATCGACCAACGTCTTCCACTCGGCTGCTTGGCGTTTGAAGCGTGCCCCTGGGAACCATGCCGGTACATGCTTCACTATGAGTCAAGTAAGCCACAAACGGTTCTGGAGGGAACAGAGACCGCCGAACACACAGATAGGGAAGACATCAACTGCAGAGAAGAAAATCAGGTAAAGCGAAGGGCACAAGCGTAATATCTTCCACGAACCAAGGAAGATTCCCGCATTGATGATATGGTTGACCGTATACACGGCCTTCTCTACGAGTTCAATTCGGGGGTCGCCAGGCTGCGCGTCAGATGCATAAACGATATCGAGAATCATAGATCCTGCCATGCTGTAAAGCAATGAGGCTGAAGAATGAAGGAAAAGAGGTCATCATAGCTCACTAGCGAACATGTGGGACGAAGTCGTCACCGGATTTTAGAAGCGACTGCAGCAGCTTGTGGACCGCTTTAGCTTGTTTGAGGTGATACTGCGGGACAGCACGGGGGCGGAAATACTGATGGAATAACCTGCGGTGTGTTCTCCAGTAATCGCCGTACGGCAGAAGCCCCCAATTGCGATGCCATCCGGTGCTGAATCAAGGTGAGCACGGTACTTTCCCTTGCGAAAGGCGCTTACAGCTCGGTCAACATGACGGATTGTTCTCTGTGAACAATGGTCAGCCACGTTCTAGGCAATTGCGACCAGATTCACGTACTTACTTGTCAGAGTATATGTGGGGACGCTTGTCGAGCAGCTCTTTGGAGGCCACAGCGCTGTTGATTACGATAATGTGCGCGCCGAGTGCCTGAAGATGAACGATGTCGGAGCCTAGAGAAAGCGATTGAGATGGGATTACCACGCCGCCCAAACATACTTACCATACTGACGCGCCCAATCCCTGTACACCACCCACCCATTCTTCATGGGCACATCAAAAACGTTACCGACGATGGGGAGCCCTTTGGGCCCGGGAGGATATCGACGGCGTTGTCGTCTTCGAGAGAAAACTGCCCAGACAGCGAACAGTGCGGCGAGAACGTACAGGAGGGCAAACTTTGCCACATCGAAACGTAGCATCGGAGGCGCGTTGTCCGGAGTTACAGCTGCAAAGACACAGTGCATGCGACTTCATAAGTACACATCGAAGAATTGCGGCTGCCATACCAGAAGGCACGGATCGTGAGTAACATACCTGACCGTACAGGAATAGCCCAGAAATGCTGGCTTCGATAGGACACGAGACCTACATGCTAGATGGCAAAATATGTCACGAGCGACTCGCTTGCACGAGCCGATGGCAGCATTAGGCGAGATAGAGCAAGTTGATGGCTTGGCCCCGCTTGGGCTTTGGATGTGCTGATATTACGCGCATAACTGAGCATATGCTAATTTCTAACGGTCCAGAATGCGGTTGGAAGGGACTCCGTGAACGGTCTCACGCTCAGGCGTGACATGTGTGCTTCGCGTGAGAGAGTCTGGGAGACTCTCCAGTGCCATCAGAAGGTGCAAAAGCTGCCGCTCAGACAATCGCGGCAATCGCTACAGGCGGCGCCGGCGCCGGCGATGTGAGGGCAAGTGTGGTGGTGATGAGGGGGTTGTGCCGTGTGCGACGGACGAGTTGGAGAGCTCGACGGCGCTCTGCAGCGCGGTGACACGAAAACTGCCGAGCTTGCTCGGTGAACGTTTATCGATTGCTTTCTCCTTGAGCCGTACAGCTGCACTCGATGGCAGCGTTTCGCAGATAATTTATTCATGTTGGTAGCATACATAGTGCATGCTCAGTCTTCCAAGTAAGCGCGCCGAAAGTGTTTTGTCTTGTAGTACGCACGAATAGGCTACGCATCTGCTAGAGCAGCCGACCGTATCAGGCTATCTGCTCCTGAATAACGCGGCTTGAAGTGAGCCTTGAAAGGTTTCGGTGGGCTGTGGGCACATAAGCATGCCGAGCTGTGGAATGCCGGTAGTCGACAAGCTCACCTCAACACATGCGGAACAAACTCCTCCTTGACTTCGACGGCCTCGCCGTTCTCGTCTACAGCTGCCTCGATGGTGAAGACGGCTAGAAGGTTCGACATAGCCACGAAGAGCGTGTCCAGGGCGAAGTAACGCCCAGGAGATATCCTGCGCCCGTATCCGAACGTTTCGATGGGGAAAGGGACGTCGTCTCGAAGCCTCCCATCGTCGAAGAGAAAGCGGCTCGGTTTGAAGGAGTATGGGTCGGGGTATCTCTCGTCGTCGTGAAGAATCGCCCTTTTTAATCATTGTTAGCCTGGGCTCTATCTGTAAATTTTTGCGCCTTACCATGAATTGCCGATTACTAGCGAGCCTGCTGCAATATGGTAACCCTTGTAGTCGTCGTCGGTGATCGCACGATGTGGCGTCGCTAAAACCAGTTTTTCATCAATCACGAGTGTACAGCACAGGAGGCGTCTGCGGACCTAGAGGCAGAGGCGAATGCCACCTATTCAGCCCGTGAGCAAGACCAGCATAAGACATGCGTGACCGATCGTCCGCACCTCAAGACCTCATTCATCACAGCCGTGACTCGAGGAAGAGACTGCCGGTCATCTACCTGTGGTAACCGATCTCGACCTATCACGCGGTCGAGCTCCTCCTGTACAAACACTTGTATCTCAGGATGCAGGATCATCGCCAAGATGAACGTGGAGAGCGCGATGACCGTCTGCAATCGTGTCAGACCAAATACTTCCTGCGTGGGATATTGCGACGTACCGTTTCTTCGCCAGCTGTCTCTTCCTCAGCATGCGCGACGTGTGCTACATGGTGAGTTAATCTCACCTGCGTACGCTGTCCCCGTGAGCGCAATAAATATCTCGTCGAGTCTTGACACATCCGTCGCATCAGCGTTCGAAAGTAAGGACACTGCGAAACACGGTTAAATGTTGTCTTCGTTCCAGTACAAGTTCGAAACATAATGCCTTCAGATACATGCGAGAACGGGATCTCGAGAGGAGGTGCACCATTGCCGCCTTGAACTGGTAGTAAGGCACCTCGAACATGGCATCTACTAGCTTCCTCCAATTGCCTGCCTGACGCTTGAAACGCGCTCCTGGGAACCATGCCGGTACGTGCTTTACTGTGCGACAAGTGAGAAAAAGCGGCTTCCAACGGGACGCGCGAGCACGCACAGATCGGGAACACATAAACTGTAGAAGAAGAAGAAATTTGAGCAAGACTGAAGATGGAAGTGTGCCAAGTTGCCACACACCAAGGAAGATCCCTGCGTTGACTATTTGGGTAGCCGTGTACGTGGCCTTCTCCACAAGTTCGAGGCGGGGGTCGCCAGGCAGCACGTCAAAAGCGTAAACGACGTCGAGAATCATAGATCCCGCCATGCTGAATAACAGTGAGACTGTAGATGGGGCAGACGAGTGGAATGATCGAAACTCACTAGCGGATATGCGGGACACAGTTGCCTTGGAAGTCCACAAGCAGCTGCAGTAGTCTGCGGACAACCTTGGCTTGTTTGAGACGATATTGTGGTACTGCAAGAGGGCGAAAGTGTTGGTGGAATAACCGGCGATTCTCCCTCCAATAATCGCCGTACGGCATCAATGCCATGTTGCGATGCCATCCAGTTCTACGTCAATATCAGCACAGTACTTCCATTGCACAGGGTACTTACAACTCGTTCATCATAACAGACTGTTCTCTGTGGGCAACGCTCAGCCGAATACCAAGTAAATGCATGTGAGCCCATGTGCTTACTTGTCAGAGTACACGCGAGGCCGCTTGTCGAATAGCTCTTTGGCGGCAGCGGCGCTGTTGACGACGTAGATGTGAACGCCCAGGGTTTGAACATGAACAATATCGGAACCTAAACACAGCGGTCGGGATAAACTCTAGCCCGCCTCTGTAGATGAAATATAGTGGACGTACCATACTGACGCGCCCAATCTCTGTACACGAGCCAACCATACTTTAGTGGTACATCAAACATATTCCCGATGACTGGCAGCCCTCTTGGTCCTGGAGGGTACAGAAAACGCTGCCGCTTTCGGGAGGCAATTATCCAAAGGGCCAACAGAGCGACGAGGATGCATAGTCAAAACGTTACGTCGGAGGCACAGCGTAGCAGCTCCAGAAACGCAATCTGTACGGCTATAGAAGTGCACGTTGAAGCACTGCCGCGACCGTTCGCCTTTGGAAGGCATAGAATGTGAGTAACATAGCCGATTGTAGAGAAGCAGCTCAGGAGCACTTACTTCAAAAGGAGAGATGGTATACACGCCAAGTTGGAGCTATAGAATAATATGTCACAAGCTGATGCATGGCATTCTCAGCGGGATAGAAGAGAACTATAAAGTACACGAAGCTGCATCACAGATTGCACCTCGGCGAATCGGAGTGAGAATAGGGAAGAGCACTATACATAAAATAATCTCATGTGAGCTGAGTCGTGCGAGAGTCCGAGAAACTTTGTCCGATAGTCCGGCACGCAACAGAGGAGATCGTGCCTGGGAGCTTAGATAGTACGGAGATTGCCGACGAATGTTTGGTGATCGCTAGCCTCACTACGCGGAGGCCAGGAAAGTCTCTGGGATGTATTCACCTACAAGACGGGCACTCAGTCCATTCTACGATAAGGTCAGTACAGCAGAGATGCTCACGCTCAGAGTGCTAATCGGGGACAGTCTCCGAGCGTGCGAAAGGTTGAACTCTCGCCAATGACTCGCGATGGCAGCAACGCCAGAAGGAAATACAACGAATGAAACGTCTAAAAACGCCGACGTGTCTATCCCCCGGCAAGCACAAACAGCCTACGCGTCTGATAGAACCGCTGACCGTATCAGACTTTCTGCTCCTGGATGACGCGGCTTGAAACAAGCCTTGAAAGGCTTCGGTGCGCTATGGGTCCGTTAGACCTCCGAGCTGCTATGAAATGGCAGTCGATATGCTCACCTCATAATGTGCTGGGTAAATTCCTCCCTGATCTCAATAACCTGGCCATTCTCATCCACAGCCTTCTCGATGTTGAAGACAGCCAGAAGGCTCGAGACGACGAGAAACAGGGTGTCCATGGCGAAGTAGCGACCAGGACATATCCTGCGACCGTAGCCGAACGTTTCTGTGGGGAGAGGGACATCGTCTCGGAGCGTCCCGTCTGCAGACAGGAATCGTTTTGGGTTGAAGGAGTATGGGTCGGGGTACGTCTCCTCGTCGTGGAGAATTGCCCTGGTCAATTGTTGTCAATTAAGGCCGTGTTTCAACACTTCATACTTACCATGTGTTACCAAAGACTATCGAGCCTGCAGGGATATGGTAGCCATTGTATTCATCATCGAACATCGCACGGTGGGCAGTCGCTGAGGTCAAACTCTGTCAATCATAAGCTCATAAGGAGTAGAGCGGATGCGAACCTAAAGGCAGAGGAGGATATCGCCTGTTCTGCCTGTGAGCGAGACTGGCGCGATGTAGTGTGATTGGTTGCACGTACCGCATGACCTCATGCATCACAGCTGTGACACGAGGAAGAGACGGCTGGTCCTCCATCACCGGTAATCGATCGTTACCGACAACCTTGTCAAGCTCCTCTTGCACAAATGTTTGCATATCCGGGTTCAAGACCATGGCGAGAATGAACGAGACGGTTGTAATGACTGTCTGCAATATGGCATTAGTCAAGTGTCATCGCGCTCAGCCCTTTGGGCACGTACTGTGTCAGAGCCAGCTGCGTGCATGCGGTCAGCATGGGTCACGTATACTGCACAACGAGCCAATCTCACCTGCGTATGCTGTCCCCGTGAGCGCTATAAAAATCTCATCTAGTCTTGACATATCTGTCGCGTCGGCGTCGGACAGTAAAGATAGAGCGAGGCACGGCTGAGCACTGCCTTCATTCTAGTATGATTGTGGAACCCAAGGCCACTAAACACACGCGAGGGTTGATTCCAGTGAAGAAGACGTACCATCGTCTCCTTGAACTGACTGTAAGGCACCTCGTACATGGCATCCACCAGCGCCTTCCACTTGGCTGCTTGACGCTTGAACCCCGCACCAGGAAACCATGCAGGCACATTCCTCACTATGTGATGAGCAAGAAATAAGTGGCTTTCCAAGGGGTTAAGAGGCACGTTAGAACGTACAGATCGGAAAAATATCAACTGTTTGGAAAGGAATGAGCACGACGAGATATACAAGTATAGCAAGTCACGACGAACCAAGGAAGATTCCCGCCTCGAGCATTTCATTACCTGCGCGCATAGCTTTCTCCACGAGTTCAAGACGGGGGTCGTGGGGCTGCACATCAAAGGCGTAGACGGTATCGAGAATCAACGATCCTGCAAAACTAGAAGATACTGGTTGGGCCAAGCAGGGGAGGAGACAGGACACCGTAACTCACTAGCGAACATGCGGTACGAAGTCGTCTCCGGGTCGGGAGTCTAGTAGTAGATTTAATAGCCTACGAACGGCTTTCGCTCGTTTGGGATGATACTGTGGGACTGCGAGTGGGCGGAAATGTTGGTGGAACAGCCGGCGATGCTCCCTCCAGTAATCGCCATATTGCATCAGTGACCAGTTGCGATAGGGCCCAGTGCTGTGCCGGCATTAGTGGAGCATTGTTTTCCAGAACGGGGGCGCTTACACCTCGAGCAACATAGAAGTTAGCTCTCTGCAAACGGCGATCAGCCATATGCAGGACGGAACACGCAGATTCGCCTGGCAGTGCTCACTTGTCGGAGTATATGCCATGACGTTTGTCAAAGAGATCTTTGGCGGCCTTGGCACTGTTTACCACCACAATGTGCATGCCGAGGCTCTGGAGATGAATGATGTCGGAGTCTAGGGGCAAGGGAAGAGGTTGGCGCCAGTCCATTGCCCAGATGTAACGTACTGGACGCACCATACTGACGCGCCCAATCTTTGTAGGTATACCAGCCATACCCGACCGGTATATCAAGAATATTGCCAACAACAGGAAGCCCTTTAGGGCCAGGAGGATACCGATAGCGCTGTCGTTTCCGAAAGGCGACTGCCCAAAGAGCAGTTAGAGCGATAGAAACATACACGAATGTAATAAGAGGCTGCATCGTTCCGAAACGCAAATCTCATGCTGCTGCTGCAGTTTATATATGCACGCGGGTTTATAAGCCCGTGTTGGCACACTGCAGGGGACGCCATGAGCACCATATACAGTACTAGTAAAGGGAGCATAAGTTTCAGTCTGACATATCAAGGGTAAGATGGAGGAGAATTACTTGGCCAAACGGATTGCCAGACGCGTGAAGCGGCTAGATAGCGTTGGCAGCTTGCGGAAGACGTGAGCTGAGCGAGCGAGGGCCGGGGCGGAGCGCTGAACGTTAACGCTGAGCGACGGGCTTGCGAACAGGGACGTAAACCTGGTTCGCATCAGGAACCCGGGGTGCGAGAGAGAGAAGTCGGGAAATTGAAAGGCGAGAAACGACGTGCGACGGACAGCCCCATTGCGCTATGCTATACACCAACATTTGTAAACGTAAAGTTGGGTACGTACGTATCGGTGTAGCAGCATGGTGTATCGAGGTGAAAATCAAAGATTTCGGAGCCGCAACCGCCTTGTGTCAGGCTCCTCACGAGCAGATCCGTGGCCATAGGACTGAAGTACCGATGAGTCATCGCTATACGATAAACACGTCCGACGATCCACGGACAAAACATTGGCGAACAATGGCATCGTGCTTGCGCGTGCAGACTTTGATAGACTGCCTTTGATGGCAGTCTTATGAGGGCCAAACCGGCTGAGTTTGAAAATGCAACCTTTTTAGGACGGGTAAAACCTAGGGATTAGGCGCCCAAGCTAGTCCAGCACTGGATGGTAAGCGCAAGTTTCCCTTGTAAGATTGATCAAGAATCGGCTGAACAAGGCCTTGTGTTTCTCAGCTTTTCAATCGAGAGAAATAGGAGACAAACTCTAGCTTTCCATCAGCCTTACCCTGTTTTGGAGGCATAATCGGAAAAAAATTGGACCTTATTTACCCACTTGTCGTGCCCTTGGTAGGTGTGCAGTTGCGCCATAAGCTATGAACTCGCATCTTTCGAAATGTCCTACTATTAGAAGTTCGCCTCCAACGAATTTGCTAACACGCGGGGCCCGGGTTCGCAAAGCGGGCGCGCTCGAGACTGCAAGACGGCCACTCAGCTCGTTCTACAATACACTTAACATATTACTCGCAGTGTAAAATACATAGATACCCACGCTCAGATTCGGGGAAAAGTCTCTGAGCGTCCGAAAGGTTGAACTCTCGCTAATGAGTCGCGACCGTAGCGACTGACTGAGCCACGTCAAAACACATAAAACGCCCGATAACTTCGACATCCCTATCCCTTGGCAAGCACAGACGGCTTACGCGTCCGCTAGAGCTGCCGACCGTATAAGACTCTCCGCCCCCGGATTACGCGGCTTGAAGCGGGCCTTGAAAGGCTTCGGTTGGCTATGGGTTTCATGAGACCTCTGAGCTGCCAAGAGCTGGCGATTGATATGCTCACCTGAAGACGTAGGGAGTAAATTCCACCTTGACTTCAATAGGCTTGCCATTCTCGTCCACAGCCTTCTCGATGTTGAAAACAGCTAGGAGGCTCGATATAGCTAGAAAGAGGGCGTCCATGGCGAAGTAACGGCCGGCACATATCCTGCGTCCATAGCCGAATGTTTCTGTGGGGAGAGGCACATCGTCTCGGAGCTTCCCGTCCTCAGACAAGAACCGTTTCGGGTTGAACGAGAACGGATCGGGGTACACTTCCTCGTCGTGGAGGATTGCCCTGTCTAGTTGTTGTCGATCAAGGCCATATTTAAATAATCCGCACTTACCATGTGTTACCAATGACCATCGAGCCTGCAGGGATATGGTAGCCATTGTACTCATCATCGGTAGTCGAACGGTGGGGAGTCGCTGGAACCAAACTCTGTCAATCATAGACACACGGAGTAAGATGGATGCAAACCTAGTGGCATAGGGGGGTATCGTCTGCTCTGTCTGTGAGCGGGACTAGCGTGATATGATGCGACCAGTTGCACGTACCGCATGACCTCATGCATCACAGCTGCGACTCGAGGAAGAGACGGCTGATCTTCCATCACTGGCAATCGATCGTTACCGACGACCTGGTCAAGCTCCTCTTGCACGAATGCTTGTATTTCAGGATTCAAGATCATGGCGAGGACGAACGTGGTAATTGTAATTGCTGTCTGTAATATGACATTAGTCCACCCGTATTGCTCGACTTCTTGCCACGCACCGTGTCCGAGCCGGCTATGTGCGTACGGTCAGCATGAGTCAAGTATACTATGCAGCGAGCTAATCTCACCCGAGTATGCTGTCCCCGTGAGCGCAATAAACGTTTCTTCAAGTTTTGAAATATCTGTCGTGTCGGCCTCGGACAGAAGAGATAGAGTAAGACACGGTTGAGCACCGCCTTCGTTCTAATACAGATATGCAACACGAGGCCGTTAAACACACGCGAAGACGAGATTCCGGTGAACGGGACGTACCACTGCCGTCTTGAACAGACCGTAAGGCACCTCGTACATGTCATCCACCAGCGCCTTCCATTTGGCTGCTTTACGCTTGAATCCCGCGCCAGGAAACCATGCCGGCAAATACATCACTATATGATGAGTGAAGGAATCAGTGACTTCCGAAGGAGGAAGAAGCGCCCTCGGACGTACAGATCGGGAAAATATCGACTGTGTGGAAAAATGAGCACGACGAGGTATATATAAGTGTAGGATTTCGTGACGAACCAAGGAAGATTCCTGTTTTGACGATCTCTTCGCCTGCGCTCATAGCTTTCTCCACGAGTGCAAGACGGGAGTCATCGGGCTGGACATCAAAGGCGTAAATGATATCAAGAATCAATGATCCTGACATGCTAAACGATAGTACTGAGGTTAAGCAAGGGATGAGATAGGATATTGTGACTTACTAGCGAACATGCGGTAAGAAGTCATCTCGGGAATCTAGTAGTAGGTTTAATAGCCTGCGGACGGCTTTCGATTGTTTGGGATGAAACTGTGAGACTGATCCCGGGCGGAAATGCTGGTGGAATAGTCGGCGATGTTCCTTCCACTCATCGCCGTACGGCATCATTATCCAGTTTCTTTCGGGCCCAGCGCTGTATCGACGTTAGCGGAGCATTTTCTTCCTTAGCGAGGCACTTACACCTGAAGCATCATCGTAGATACCTCTCTGCAAATAGCGATCAGCCGTATGCAGGACAGAACACGCATATTTGACTGCTCACTTGTCAGAGTAATTAATGTACCGCTTCTCAAACAGATCTTTGGCGGCTTTGGCACTGTTTACCACCACAATGTGCATGCCGAGGCCATGGAAATGAAGGAGGTCGGAGCCTTGAAGGAGAAGACGAGGTTGAAACCTATTCACTGCCCCGATGTAGCGTACTGGACTCACCATACTGACGCGCCCAATCTCTGAACGTAATCCAGCCATGCCCCGTTGGTACATGAAGAATATTGCCAACAATGGGAAGGCTTTTGGGCCCAGGCGGATACCGATAATGCTGGCGCTTCCGGAAGGCGATTGCCCAGAGGGCAGTCAGAGCGATAGAAACATACACGAGCGTTGGTGCCATTGTAGTAAGAGACTGCATCGCTCCGAAACGCAGATCTCATGCTGCAGCACCAGCATATATATGCACGCGGGTTCGTAAGCCCGTGTTGACGCACTGCGGGAAGCAGCACGTGCTGACCATGCGCCGTAAAGAGAACAAACGTTTCAGTTTGACGTATCAAAAGCGAAATGAAGGAGAGCTACTTGGTCAACGGGATTGCCAGACGCGTGAAGCGGCTAGATAGCAGCTTGCAGGGTGCGTGAACCAAGTGAGCGAGCGAGACTCAGGGCGGAGCGCTGAACGCTGACGCTGAGCGACGGGCCTGCGAACTGAGAATGGACGTAAATCTGGTTCACTTCAGGGAATGCGAGAGCGAGAAGTTAGGAAAATGAAAGATGACAAAAAGCATACGACGAGCGCTACCATGGCGGCCTTGTTACAATAACAAGTTGGAGACATGTGCATTTGCACAGCAACATGAGATCGCTGGAATCAAATGTTTTGAGTCGCCATTGCCTTGTCAGACGAATGAGCCATAGATTGAACTGACCACGTCAGACCCCTCACAAGCTGAAGGCTAGCGTCCAGTCCTGATGAGTCATCGCTATTTAATAAACACATCCGACGATTCACGGACAAAACACTGTTGAACAACGGCATCGCGCCGGCGCGTTAGAATCAGTAACCGCATACACATTTGATGTGATTTCCTGTGCAATGTTGATAGGTTCATCAAATGTCATCAAATATGCATCCCATACGTATACAGTACTCGCCGCGCGACTCGGCGGGTGGAGCGACAAGCCAAACACACTTTCAATAGCTGATGTCCCTGCAGCTAGAGGAACAGCTTGTATGTCCACACACAATACTAGAACTGTTGCTGTACTAAAGAATCAGAGAGCACATGCCTAGTAATATGTCAATGTTGATTGCACCTGGACCCGGCCTAGGCTTGGCGTGCAGCCGCACCATAAGCCAAACAGCGATAAGGTCCATAAAATGGGCGCCGCTAGCATAGGTATCGATGCCGAGGACCCTGGGAACAGCCTTCTATCATGACAAGGATGGCTGGTCCGGCATGCGTCCGTGGTCGCCGCCAGCCTCAAGTCAAGGGCTGCTTCCGTAAAGCCACGACCGAGCCGTAAGGAGTGACGAGCATCGGCGAAGCGACCGTTCTTGTCTCCGTAATACTCTGCCAATAGTACAGAATTGGAAACCAGACCAAATTCTCGTCGTGCGTTAGCTTATGGTGGCGGACACTGTACGCGGAAATGAACATTTTTACTTACCAAGAAACAGACTTATACCACATTAAGCCTTTGTTGGTCTCTACCACAATCTTGGTACCAAGACCAACCCGATTCATCAGAGCTTGGGTCACACATACCTTCAATCGGCCTGAGGAGGGGATGCGGTCAAGACGAGGCTTGCTTTCATGCATTCATGGTTCGATGACGGTGGCGTGCCTTGTTTACATGTATTTTGTGCCAGGCGCCTGCTCGTTTACGCAATCTATATGACTTGTTGTGTAAAGTGCGCGCGCTCGTCCAATGTCCGGCGAGATTCAGCAGCCTTGATACCGCCCACGGACGACCGTCCCGTATGTTTACAAAAGGCGTATGGCTCGTCACGTAAGGCGTTCGTCCAATGTCCGCCGAAGTAGACGACAGTCAGCAGTCTGGCCTTGCGTAAAAATTCGCAGCAGCGAGCGCGTTCCGCCATTCCGAGTCGCATAAGTCCAGTTCTGTCGTCTGGTTCTGGCCGCAAGTCTTCTAGAGAAGGGCGAGACCCGAAGGAATTTCCACACCATTGATGACCCCGGTGATTTGACCGCTGTCCTCCTCCTCTTCTCTGCGATATACTCCTACTCACCTCGAGACGGCAAGCTTATCTTGAACTCACAGCGCCTTTGATGATACGATAATTATCAGTTTTCATAGCAAGTGCCTGTTTTCACTCAGGCTGCGCGATGTAGTGAATATCTCACTAACGTACTAAATCAGGCCAATATTTTCACACGGGTGCCCCGGAATCTCGATCCTTTGTTCCGCTCCGAAAGTAAACATAACTTCAAGGCGGTCTAATGTTTTATTACAGATAGATCACGCATCCGCCAAACCGGTCGTCCGTATCAGGCTCTCTGCTCCTGGACAACGCGGTTTGAAATGTGCCTCGAAAGGTTTTGGCAAGCTATGGGCCTATAAGCATCACCGAGCTACAGAGTGGCATCAGTACTAGTGTTGCAGAGAAGATACCAACCTAGAGGGAGAGGTGAATGCCCTCTGTTCAGCTCGTAAGCAAAACCATCATAATATACACGTGGTTGACTGTTCGCGCCGCAGGACCTCCTGATCACAGCCGTAACGCGGGGAAGAGACTGCCTGTCGTCTATCCCTGGTAAACGATGTCGACCGACGACACGGTCGAGCTCCTCTTGCACGAAGGCTTGTGCCTCTGGATGGATAACTGTGGCGAAGATGAAAGTGGTTAGTGCGATGATCGTCTGCAAATCATGTCAGTTCAAGTGCACTGTGCCAGTGTCCGAGGTGTTTCCACGCACCGTGTCTGAACCGGCTGTGCACACTCAGCACTGGGTGGTAGGTGCAGTTTTTTTTGCTTGCATAACCAGCCAAAAGCTAGGCGAACAAGAACCTGTGTTTAACCGGTTTTCATTCGAGAAAACTTGGAGACAAACCTTCCTTTTTCACTAGTTTTGTGCGTTTCAGCCTCTTTTAGCCGGTTTTGCACCAATTTATGCACCAATTTACCCCAATGTACAACCGGGGAACAATCGGTTCTTGTTTTCCCAATTTTGACTGGGTTTCTTCAAGAAAAAAACGTGCTTACCACCCTGTGCAGTCAGCATGCATGACGTATACTCCGCGACAAGCGGGTCTCACCTGCGTATGCTGTCCCCGTGAGATTCATCAATATCTCATCGAACTTTGGTGCGTCTATCCCGTCAGCATTGGACAGTAAGGATCCCGCGAGGCACGGTTTGGTACTGCCTTCTTTCTGTCACAATTATGCACCCCGGCGCTATTAGATGCATGCTAGAACAGAGTTTTGAGAGGGGACGTGCCATCATCGCTTTAAATTGGTTATAAGGCACCTCATACATGGCATCTACCAGTGCCTTTCATTCGACCGCTTGACGTTTGAAGTGTGCCCCAGGAAACCATGATGGCGCGTACTTTACTGCATGACAAATAAGGGTTGGGTGGCCTCCGAAGATACGTAAGGACGGACAGATCGGGAAAATGTCAACTGTGGAAGGAGGAATTAGCACAACGTGACATACAAACGTAGCATTCAATGACAAACCAAGATAAACCCCCGCATTGATGAGGTTGGTGACCGTATGCACGGCCTTCTCAACAAGCTCGATACGGGAGTCGCCAGGTCGTGCGTCAAACGCATACACGACATCAAGGATCATAGACCCTGCCATGCTAGAGAGTATCAAGGCTCAGAAAGGAAGGAGATATGTCCGTCGCGGCTTACTAGCGGACATGCGGGGCGAAATCGTCTCCAGAATCCAGAAGCACTCGCAGGAGCCTGTGGACGACTTTCGCTTGTTTGGGATGATGCTGTGGAACTGCAAGAGGGCGAAAATGCTGGTGGAACAGTCGACGATGCTTCCTCCAGCAATTACCGTACGGTAGAAGCGCCCAGTTACGATGCCATCCAGTGCTGCACAGGTGTTAACACCGTACTTCCCTTGGTACGGTACGCTTACAGCTCAGTTACCATGACGGATTGTTCTCTAGTGATAATGATTACTCATGTGTCGGGCGAGATGCGCACACAAATTTGTACACTTACTTGTTAGAGTATACGCTCGGTCGCTCATCGAATAACTCTCTAGCGGCTTTGGCGCTGTTTACTACATAGATGTGCATGCCGAGGGCCTGTAGATGGACGATATCGGATCCTGGAAAACATGGTGGCAATGAAGACTTAGCTCGCTGCCCATATATGAGATAGCGGACTTACCATACTGACGCGCTCAATCCCTGTACACAATCCAGCCATTCCCCATTGGCACATCAAAAATGTTACCAATGATAGGAAGCCATTTGGGCCCGGGAGGGTACTGACGGCGTCGCAGCTTTCGCGAGGCAATGATCCAGACAGCGGATAGTGCGATGAGAATGTACAAGAGGGTCGGCTCCGTGATATCGAAGCGGAGGCACGTTCAGAATGGCTTTACCACAAAGGCACAGCGCATGCGACTCCATAAGTACGCATCGAGTGATTGCGCCTGTTTGATACTAGAAGGCACGGAACGCGAGTATCGTATTGTGTAGTAAAGGAACAGAAATGCACGTCAAGTGACAGAATGTGTGACGAGCGACTCATCTGCACAAAGTAATGGCAGAGCTGAACGAAATAAAACAGAGTCACCAGGTTTCATATATGCCATCGGATATGCCTGTAATGATACGCGCTTGTAGCGGTGTCCATGATGGGTAACTCCTTAGTGTAGATGGGAGGCCATGTGAATGGTCTCATGACGTTTGTGCTTCGCACGATGCTCTGAACGGTTTTCTGCCTTCAAAAAGCTAAAAAGGCCACCTATCGGCGATAATAGCAAGCATTAGCCAACTATGCAAAAGCAGGTACGATGACACGAGGAAGTTGTGCTGAGCGCTCTTGAGCGCGACGAAAGTTCAACTGGCGGTGACGCGGTGAGCGTTCGGCGATCGCTCCGACTCCCCGCAGAGTTGGATAACACAGCTGGATGGCAACATCTCGTAGATGGTGATCGTTATGTATGTGGCATGGCGCATACATTCTTACCAAAGTAGGTGCGCCAAAATTCTTTATTTCCCAGCACGCGCAGATAAGCTACGCATCTGCTAGAGCAGCTGACCGTATTAAGCTCTCCGCTTCTGGATAACGCGCCTTGAAACGCGCCTTGAAAGGTTTCGGTGGGCTGTGAGTTCGGTTTTAAGCATCAGCGTGGCGTTTAAATCAATAATATGTGCGCTTACCTGAAGACATGAGGGACAAATTCTTCCCTAACCTCGACAACCTTGCCGTCTTCGTCCACAGCCTTCTCTATGGTGAAAACAGCGAGGATATTCGATACAGCCGTGAAGAGCGTTTCTAGAGCAAAATGGCGGCCCGGACATATCCTGCGTCCGTAGCCGAACGCTTCCATGGGTTTCGGGACATCTTCGCGCAACTTCCCATCTTCGGAGAGGAACCGTTTGGGATTGAACGAATACGGGTCCGGGTAAGTATCCTCGTCGTGAAGAATCGCCCTGTTCAACTCTGGTCGGCTAAAGACATAGCTACCGATCCATGACGCACCATGAATTGCCCATGATTATTGAGCCCTCTGGGATATGATAGCCATTATACTCGTCGTCGGCCATTACACGGTGCGGAGTAGCTGAAGACGAAGTGCGGTCAATCATAGGTATGCGGAGCAGGGGAAATGCAAACATAGCGGTAAAGGCGAGTGCCATCTATCCAGCCCTTGAGCAAAACATATACGATCCGCACGCGGTCTACCGTACGCACCTAAGGGTTTCGTACATCACGGCTGTAACGCGAGGAAGAGATGATTCGTCGTCTATCTCCGGTAAGCGATCTCTGCCGACGACACGGTCAAGCTCTTCTTGCACGAATGCTTGTGCCTCGGGATACAGGACCATGGCAAATATAAACGTCATAAGCGCGATGCTCGTCTACGTGATACGGCGTCAGCTGTGCACTATGCTCGAGATTTTACCACGCACTGTGTCTGAGCCACCTGCGTACGCTGTCCCCGTGATATTCGAGAAAATCTCATCAAGCTCTGGCGTATCCGCTCCGTCGGCGCCGGAGAGTAAGGATGCCGTGAGACACGGTTGAGCGCTGCCTTGTTTCTAGCATTGTTAGACCATCCAGGGCCATGAATCGTAAGCGATAACGGAATCTCGGTGGAGAAGACGTACCATTGCGGCCTTGAACTGACCATAAGGCATTTCATGCATGGCATCCATTAGCGCCTTCCACTTGGCTGCTTGACGCTTGAATCGCGCCCCGGGAAACCATGCCGGAACGTGCTTCACTATGGGAAAAAGTGAGGAAAAAGTGACTTTCAAAGGTCAAAGATACGTCTCAGAACATACGGATTGGGAATAAATCAACTACGGAAAAGGAGAGTGAGCATAACGAAAGAGATGTGCCCAGAATGTCGCAACTGACCAAGAAATATTCCTCCATTCATAATTTCGGTAGCTGTGTGCACGGCCTTCTCCGCGAGTTCGATGCGAGGATCACCAGGTTGCACATCGAAGGCGTAGACAACGTCGAGAATCAGAGACCCTGCCAAGCTGAAGAATAGTGAGACTGAAAATGGAGAAAGACGGAATCAGCACCACTCACTAACGGACATGCTGAGCGAAGTCATTTCCGGCATCTAACAGTAGTGGAAGAAACCTCTGGACGGCTTTTGCCTGCTTTGGTCGATACTGTGGAACCGCAAGGGGCCGAAAATATTGGTGAAATAATCGGCGATGTTCCCTCCAGTAATCGCCGTACGGTAGCAGCGACCAGTTACGACGCCATCCACTCCTGCACCAACGTCAGAATAACGTTGCCGCCAGTCACTGGGAGACTAACAGCTCGAGTAGCATGACAAACTGCTGCCTAAAACAGCTGTCAGCCTTGCACGGAATGTAACGCGTATAGATATATCTGCTCACTTGTCGGAGTATATGTGGGACCGCTTCTCAAACAGCTCTTTGACGGCTTTGGCACTATTAGCCACGACAATTCGCATGCCGAGAGCTTGGAGATGAATGATATCAGAGCCTGAGTGGGTAAACGTTGTGAAAACCAGCTCGACGCTCAGATATGACATGTCGGTCCTACCATACTGACGCGCCCAGTCCCTGTACACAAGCCAGCCGTACTCCATGGGAACGTCGAAGGCATTACCGACGATAGGGAGCCCTTTAGGCCCAGGAGGATATCGATGGCGCCGTCGCTTCCGGAATGCGATTGACCAAACAACAAACAAAGGGATCAGAAGATACAGGGAGAATACTAGCATCATCGTGTTGAAACTCTTGAAGCGGGAAGTGGAGGTAGAATGTGCGCGAGTTTGTAAACACGCGTCGAAGCACTGCTAGAAGGCACGGGGCGTGAGTACCGTGGCTATATGTGATGCACTTACGTCAAAAGCTTGAGCGGGTTCGCACGTTAAGTATTAATATAAGATGACGCTAGCGAGCTGATGCGAGAATCTAAGCGAGCATCTCTGGGCTAATATGTGCAGCGGCGTCGCGGGGTGGCAGATGTTGTTTAGCGAATGAGTGTTCGAATGGTCTTGTGATGCGCATGCTTCCTAGTGGAGTCTGAGACTCTCTCCAACACCGTCAGAAAAGTTATAAGCTGCCAAGTGGTAGATGCGGGAACCGTGTCAGGCAACATTAACGATGCGAGGCGCTGGCGGCGCTTAGTAATGCGGAGATTGCCGGGCAGGCATTCGGCGATCGCTCTCAGAGCTTGTCAGAGAGACTCATGTCGGCAACGCATGCGTCACCCGGAGGTGGGTGTGCCAGTCGGCCGCAGATGAGACGATATGGCCGCGAGACGTGTGCAGTGGCGTCGCGCGACGTAACTCAACATAATCGAAGCGTCAGGACATGTGTGCTTCATGTGAGAGCCTGAGCGATTCTGAAGCATATAACGGAGTCGATGCATATGACATTGCACGCGGCCCATTTTCTCAACAAATAACCGAGGAGCGAACATTCTGGCACATTCGCAGGATGTCGTAGGAGAAATTCAATCTGTGAGAGAAGTGGAGCGAACCAGAGACTCAGTTCCTGGGAATCGCGGTGTAATCCGGCACTCGAAAGGTTCGGGCATGCTAGTGCTTGCCTCAGCTTCCTCGCCTTCCAGAAGTGAACAGCGCATCGTCCACTCACCTAAGGACCCGAGGAGTAAACTCCCCCTTCGGCACAATCTCCTTTCCGTTCACGTCGGCTGCGCGCTCAATCCTGAAGGCTGCAAGGACGCTCGAGACGGTCAGCCAAAGCAGGTCCTGAGCAAAGTAGCGACCGGGGCAAATCCGCCGTCCGAAGCCGAACGTCTCGATGGGATAGTGAGCGCCATCGTTCAGCGAGCCGTCTTCGTTGAGGAAGCGCTCCGGCTTAAATAAGTCAGGATCAGGGAAGAGTCTCTCGTCGCGCAGCATTGCCCTGTCATCCCGGAGTCAGGCGTTGCCGCGTGAAATAGGGGCTGGACGTACCAGGAGTTGCCGATAACAACGGTGCCGGCTGGGATGTGGTACCCGTTATACTCGTCGTCGGCAATAGTCCGATGCGCAAGCCCTTCCGTAGTACTATGAGGCTAACGTGACTAGTGAACGAGCACACTAACCCACCAATAGGTAGAATTGGATGCCAGCTGCAGGATAATAAGCGCCTATCATCCGTACAAAGCGGTCGACGAACTTACCGCAGGACCTCCTGAACTATAGCAGAGATGTACGGCAGAGAGTCCCGGTCCTCAATGTCGGGAAGGCGTTTCCTACCTATAACCCGATCAAGCTCTTCATGTGCACTGGCTTGTGTCTCAGGGAACATGACCATAGCTAAAAAGAACGTATAAAGCGTCGTCACTGTCTGCGGCAAATGAGCTACTATCCGTGCATTCTGAAGTGCACTACGTACTGTATCAGACCCAGCTGTGCAGACATGTCAGCACCGTGGCACGAAACGAGATGCATGCTACGTACCGATAAACGCCGTCCCGGTCAGGGATATAAAGACTTCCTCTAGATCTTTCATGTCCTCAGTGTTCTCAACTTCAGAGAGCAAGGTGGCTGCGAAACATGGTTTAGCGTTGCCTTCTTGCTAGAAATTAACAGCCCGAAGTCAGATTAGGCTACCTCGTTGCGACAAGAACGTACCATCGTTTTCTTGAATTCGTAGTAAGGAGTCTCATGCATTTTATCGACGAGAATCTTCCAGTTGGCGGCCTGCCGCTTGAAACCTGCACCAGGAAACCAGGCTGGCAGGTATTTTACTGTACCACGCTACATCAGAAGTGTCTTCGAAGCAAAGTAAAGGTGGCACACAGATTGGAATGACGTCCACTGTGGGGGAGGCGTATTAGGACTCTGCATATACACGAGAGATGAAACGCACCCAGGTACACGCCGGCAGCGATGATGTCCATTGCGGTCTTGACGCCTTTCTCGACCAGCTCTACTCTGTGGTCTCCAGGTTGGACGTCGAACGCGTATACGATATTGAGAATTATTTTCGCAGTCATGCTGTAACGGCCTGAGTTATCAAATGGGATCGTTTACGACAGATTTCACTCACAAACGGAGGTGATCCCGAAAATGTTCCGGAGAGTCTAGGAGTGACCGCAGCAAACCATGAACCCCTTTGACCTGCATTGGATGGTAGTGCGGAACAGCCATCGGACGGAATTGTTGGTGGAACAGCCTTCGACGTATCCTCCAGCCATCGCCGTACGGCAGCAGGGAGAAATTACGATGCCAGCCGGTTCTACAGAGACTGGTCAGAGGACTGGTCTTCTGGCAAGGACGTAAAGTTCACAATTCTTGTATCATGACCGACCGTTGTCTGGGGGAGATGTTGAGTCTTGTCCGACATCGGGCCAGCAGATAGCCATAAGCTTACTTGTCTGAATAAATACTCGAGCGTTTCTCGAGTAGATCCTTTGCAACCTCCGCGCTGTTGATTACAACGATGTGCGTTCCGAGCACCTCGAAGTGAACAAGATCAGATCCTACAAGAAATATGTTAGATGCGAATATTTTGCTGAAACCGGGTAAGTTACACACCGTACTCTCGCCCAAACTCTCTGTATCTCTTCCAGCCATAATTCTTAGGTATATCGAAAAGGTTGCCGACAATAGGTAAACCTCGCGGGCCCGGGGGATACCGTGGACGCCGTCGTGAAGAGATAGAAAGCAGGCAGACAAAGAAGAGGCCTGCGCAAAAGTACAGCGGGGATATGTGGTCGAGAATTGGGTGCGCCATGCTGAACAAACTCGTTCGAGCACCGAGACCTGCGATTTTGGCTCTGCCGCCATCGTTTTTTTAAGCATCCGTATGGCCTTAAGGTTTGACATGAGAAAATTCCAAGCGACGGGTTGTGCCGGCAAGTTGAGGGGGAAACACTATGGATTCATACCCGAAATGGTCAGACGGAGCCATGGGTCGAAGCATTAGTCACAAGCCGAAGCCTCGTGCTTCATAGGGTAATGATGTGCTCGCACCGACTATATGAAAGGGACATCTTCTACCCCTTAGACATCATACATGACGATCGTAGGTCGGCTGCAATTATGAGCTTCTGTGGAGAGCATGCGCATGAATGCCGAGTCAGGGGATCTGCTCTCAGGGTGTGGTTGGTATTGGAGTACTGATACGCGAACCTGGTGTGAACTATAAACATCATGAGAAGGGACAGGGGTACAGGGAGCACTCATACGCAGTTTGATTCTCGGCGAAGCAGGGCGGGGTCAAGTGCTTGACAAAAGACATTACAGGCTCGTGTAAAGTCAGTGGTAGGTGCGGCCACAGCATTGTGGCGCGGTGACGGCCGACGACAGCGATCAACGCGTGAGGTCACACTTCCGAACGATACCGACATCAATGAAGATCGGCGAGCCTAGCGAGCTCTGCACAGCGAACAGTCCTCGAGTGCCTGTCGTGATCCGTGAGCCATCCGGTATCCAGGCCGGCTTCGTAGCTTTGCAGACTATAAAGGCCCTCATGGGTGCGAGTCGCGTAGTAAACCGCTTCCGACGGCGGAATCTGGTAGCGCACCCGGGGGTAGAGAGCTCGTTGTTGCCTGGTGGCAGGCGGGTACTGGAATGAGGCGTTTCGTGTACATTTTGCCAGGCGGCCAGTCGGACACGACAGTCTTTGGATTTCGGTAGCGATAGAGAACCCCTGACGCATGCACTGGCATACACTCGGAGGATTCGCGCATCTGGGCACTCAAGGAAGCCACAAGCCAAGAGGTGAGAGAGGAACTTGAGGTGATACGCGCGAGCCAGGCCAAACTCCTCCTCGGAGTCAAGGAAAGCATTGCGAAATACGTCATGCGATGCTGAGTGGTTCTCATTGACTGGGCAAAGAGGTGCGGATAAACGGAAAGGAACATCTCAGGACCGGCGTGATCTGCCCCGTGTCGTACATAGGATTACTTGTAAAACACTTCAATCATATCAATGTGTGAACTCAAGCGGGTGCACGATCCGCAGGGCAGGATATGTTGCCTTAACAGAGAGTCTGAGGAAACACATGTCAATAACGCGAGGGGACATGCCTTTCTTGGGTATAGGATGTCCGCTTTCGATCTCTGATTGAATCTCCGCTCTGGCTTCGCGACACATTGTCGGTACTTTATATGATCGAGCCTCTCGCCATTGCGACATGGGACCTTTCCATCATGTCGACACAGGCCTGCTACAGAGTGCACACCTATGCCCAGATGCTCAACCAAACAATACCTCTGGTGAAACCGCCCTCACCGTCTGCAGAGCCGGATGTTCATCGAGCCTATCGAATGATGGAGGACGAGGTGACCACCTTGAGGGAGAAGTTGCTGTCTCTACCGCAAAGTGAGAGGGAACAAGGTGTGTGGAACGGATACGTGTGGGTTTTGCTGCTGATAGAGAGCTTTGCCAGCAACGCCACAACGCTCTGGTTCTGAAATCACTTGGGTTCGTACTCCGGCCCCCAGCGCGGAGCATTCGCCAGGTGATGGTCGGACTCCTTCTAGAGCCCCTGTTCACGAGCTGACGGTCAACCAGAGCCATCCCTTGTCAAGCGTGCTCGGCAAGGTCGCGAAACTCCAAGCTCGCCCGGAGGAAGAGCGCGGTCGACCCCGGAACCTCCCATCTTGAAGAGGCACCGCCTTCAGGGTGGCAGCGTTTCTAACGCGCCTTCCAGACAGCCTGCGGCTCCCCAGAAGGCCTCTCGTGCGCAGAGAGTTAACGGTTGCCGTACCAGGGACGCCGGGGATGACGTCATTGGTCAGCGACAGGAGCGCGTCTGCAAGGACGTGGATCTTGGATCAGTCACCACGGAGGAAGTAGCAGCTCTGATTCAGACGCGAGTGATGGGAAAGGGAACGGACGTGGAGGATGCAGCGCTGGTGCGGCTAGTGAGAGGCTTTCAGGCAGGGTCTTTGGAAGACTGGGTATGCGACCTCCTCATCACGGATCAGCCTCTTTCTGAACGACTTGAACAGCGAGCGCACCTCAGGGAATTGGCAGGCTGTAGGCCCCTCGTGGCGGCAGAGTGGATTGGGAGTTGCGATAACCTCGACAAAGTTGAGGACTCTGCCATGAGGCTGATTCAGCGTCACCAGGTTCGTGGCTATATTGCAAGCCGCCGTACGGTACTTGCTCATGGTGTTTCAGGTGATTGGGGAAATGGTGGACAACGAGGTCGGCTCCGCATACATAGCCGGAGCTATTCAAGTCATTGAGATCTTGAAATTCGCTATGGATTGGAACGGCACTCGCGGAGAGGGCAGCAAGCGAGGGAAGACGCAGTTTTACATCCGCGCCTTTCAAAATTGTCCGCCCTATGCAGAGGCCTACCGCACACTTGGAGACAAGGAGCGACGTACCGTCCTGGAAGAGCATAAGAATGCATTTGCTACGTGGAAGAAGAGGAACGAGATTGTCGTTACAGCAAGAAACCGCCTATTAACGTTGTACAATGCAGTAAGTCGGTTATTATATACCATCACCTGCTACTGACGGCTACAAGTTCGGCTGTGCGGTGATCGTGGACCCTTTCTGGAGACTAGACTCTATGGGGAACCGCTGCTCTCGCAGTTTCACGGCTGTCGTCGAGCGCGTATACGCCAGGATGTGCGATGAGTCAGAGGATCCCGCTTCGACGCTGAAGGAGCATAACAAGGTCGCATACACCGCGTTAAAGAGGATTTTCACTGTCGTGCACTCTCAACAGCTGGCGGCGAAGATCGGGAATTTTGTAAAGGATCATGAACCCACGTTTGCACTGGACTGGTAGAGACATGCACGTTGACTATTGTCCGTAGCTATTGCGCGCTTGACGAAAAGAGTGGGGGATTCACAGGTCAGAGCACAACGAGCTGGTGTAACCCCCAGGAAGCGGACCACCCCGCAATATCTTGTGCATAACACAAAGTTAGCGTCCAGAAAGGTAGTGTCAGAGTACTATTGGTATTCCCAATTAGGGTTTACATCACTTATGTAATCAAATACTTTCCCACGATAGTTTGCGCTGACACGGTATATCGGCACACGGTGTAGCTTATTCCTAGACAGCGAGATACATATTCGCGGAGCGTCGTGTGTAACTGAAAATATCCCTCAATCTGCTAGCGCAGCTGAACGAATCAGAGTCTCAGCCTCAGGGAACCGCGGAGTAAATCGGCATTTGAACGGTTTTGGCATACTGACGACCGTCAGCATACAAGTCCGCTGTTCAATTGGCACGCTGTTCACGCACCTGAGAAAACGGGGAGTAAACTCTCCTTTCGGCTCGATGACGTTTCTGTGCTCGTCGACTGCGCGCTCGACCTTGAAGACAGCAAGGATGGTTGCGATACCTAGCCAAATAAGATCGTGTGCGAAATAGCGTCCTGGACAGATTCGCCGACCATAACCAAATGCTTCGACGGGATAAGGCATGTCGTCCCTCAATGATCCGTCTTCCCTTAGGAACCGCTCCGGCTTGAATGCTTCAGGATCTGGAAAGACATCCTCGTCATGGAGTATAGCCCTGGTCGCTCAAAGTTAGACAGAGTAACAGGGTTAGGTGATGGTCATACCATGTGTTGCCAATGACGACGGTTCCAGCTGGGATATGGTACCCTCGGTATTCGTCGTCGGCAATGGTCTGATGCGGAACCGCTAGCAGCATATGCATAAAATCGGCAGAAAGTCGATGAATGTATGTAGTACCTACCAAGAGGCACAACGGGATGCCAGCTGTACGAGATGAGCTGCACTAACAAACGAAAAGAAGCAGCAGAGCTAACCGTAGAACCTCGTGGACTATGGCAGTAATGCAAGGAAGAGAATCTTGATCTTCTATTTCGGGCAAGCGCTTTCTACTCAATACTCGATCAAGTTCTGCACAGGCTGATATCTGTGTCTCAGGGAACATGGTAATAGCTTGAATAAATGTTGTAAGTGTCGATATAGTCTATAGCACATGATTAGCTAGCTTTACGTTTCATGTCGTGCTACTCACTGTATCGGACCCGGCTATATCGTTAACGGACGCATGAGCGTGGTAGTAGCCTGTAAGACCCATTCACGGCGTACCTCCGTATACAGATCCTGCCAAGGACATAAATATTTGATCGAGGTATGTCGCATCTTCGTTGTTATTCACGCTGGAAAGTAAGGTGGCTGCGAAACAAGGCTTTGCATTGCCTTCTCGCTACATAGTCGACGAGGTGATTTTAGTCGAGCCACGTTTCACAGTGCAAACACGTACCATCGACTCCTTGAACTGACCATAAGGGGTCTCGAACATACTGTCAACCAGGGGTCTCCACTTGGCGGTCTGACGTTTGAAGCCGGCGCCCGGAAACCAAGACGGGAGGCGTTTCACTTTTTGTCGCTAAGCTAGACGTACCAATCCAGCTGCATTGAATCAGCTCACAGATGGGAATTACGTCCACTACAGATAATATGATTATTAATAATGCGTGTAAGACCATCTCACGCACCTAGATATACACCGGAAGCGATAATTTCCGTCGCTGAATGCATTGCCTTTTCAACGAGCTTGATCAAAGGATCGCCAGGTCGTACACTAATAGCATACGCAATGTCGAGTATCATAGCCCCAGCCATACTAGAATTAGGTGAACACTTTGCACAAGTGGTCTGCAAAGTGCGGCGCTCACAAGCGGATATGCCCCATAAATTCTCCCGGGGAGTCCAGTAGTGACGGAAGCAGGCGGCGAATTGCCTTCGTTTGGCTCGAGTGATATTGCGGAACGGCCAAAGGGCGAAAGTGCTGATGGAAGAGCTTTCGATGTTTCCGCCAATAATCGCCATACTCCATTAGAATCCACATGCGATGCCAGCCAGATCTACGGCTCGGCTGGAGCAATCAACTCCTACAGTAGAAGAGGTACGTACAGCTCATGCAGCATAACCGTCTGTTGCCTGTCAGGTTCGGTAAAAGCTGACGCGACTGTGCCAGTAGTTACTGTGCGCTCACCTGCTTGAGTATTTATTTGATCGTTTCTCAAGAAGATCTTTTGTAGCCTTCATGCTGTTGAGTACCACGATGTGCGACCCGAATACCTCAAAATGAATGAGGTCGGACTCTAAATAAGGGTCGATTAGCAATTGAGGTGTGTGAGAGACAACGACATGCACCATATTGCTGTCCGAGCTCTATGTATTTCAACCAGGGGTAGTCGACGGGTACATCGAAGAGATTGCCGATGATTGGTAGCCCCTTGGGGCCTGGTGGATAACGCGGCCGTCTTCTAAAACGAGCAGCGACTAGGCAGAAACCAACGAGGCCTGCTAGCAGATATACGAGGGTAGAGCGAGAGGACATCAGGACGTCCATGGTGAGTGGACGTTCTCTAGCACTTGACATAAGTCGCGCATCGCTGTACCCACGAGGAAGAAAGGTCTGTCGTTGTAAGCCTCAAATAGGGAAGTGGCAGACACGATGAGTATCTCGAATGGCTCGATATAGTTTCTGTGCCCCCATACCTTGATGTATTGACTGAATGAATTTGGCGTTTTTCGTTCCAGAAGCTAATACAATAGCTATGTGCCATGTGCAGATTCCGGAAAATTTTCGCGTGAATGTCAGGCAACGAAAATATGTATTAACATGATCCGAGCTGTCGTACGTTACGGGCCGATGTGCCGAGCATTTGCATTGCTTTATTGAGATTGTCAGCCAAGTGAGCCCGAGTCTATTCTGAGCTGGAGATTCCACCAACCTGACGCGAAGATAGAGCCGCTGGTACGACGACGATGGCAGGTTCAGAGCCGGCGACCACATTTCGGCGCCTACATCGTGGCGCGGTGATGGCCGGTATACGACTCAACTCGCCTCCGCCCAACACATTTTCTGCCTGTCGTGAATCCATAACTCGACATAAGCACTCAAGACGTGCTCATATACGTATTTTGAAATGCCCTTAGACTATGCGAGGTATTTTTTCAACCTAGTCGCAGTCTAATTAAGGCAAGGTGGAAGCACTGGCAGGACTCAGCTGCTCATGAACCGAAGCCGCTTGTATAACGCCTCTCAGGCAAATAGCAACAGAGAATTATGTCGCATTATAGCGACGGCTCTATAACCCAGCTTTGTTTCATCCCTCAACGGTCAACGCAGCCGAACTAATGAGAGTCTCAGCTCCAGAGAATCGCGGGGTGAGTCGGCATTTGAAAGGCCTCGGTGCACTGTGATGCATCGCCTTAGCACCCAAATCTGATATTTAAGGGCATATGTATATCCGCCCACCTCATAAAACGTGGCGTGAACTCCATCCTGGGCTCAATCGTGTTTCCACGTTCGTCGACGGACCGTTCTATCTTGAAGACGGTGAGAATATTCGCGATAGCCAACCAGAGAACGTCGTGGGCAAAGTAGCGGCCAGGGCAGGTCCGCCGTCCGAACCCAAACGCTTCGATGGGTTCAGGTACTTCGTCCAGCAACGAACCATCTGGGTTGAGAAACCGCTCCGGTTTGAATGCGTCGGGGTCGGGAAAAATATTTTCATCATGTAACATAGCCCTGGACTCTTAAATTCAGATGGAGTCGTAGGGTAAAGTGATGAGTATACCAAGGATTAGCAAATATGACAGATCCAGCTGGGATGTGGTACCCTCGATAGTTAACATCAGTAATAGTTCGGTGCGGAATTGCTGCCAGGGTATCATGAATTATTAAAGCAATGTCAGGCTTAGAAGAGTAACCCCACTTGCCAAGTGGTACGACAGGGTTCCAACTGTGATATAGTGAGCAAAATCAAAGGGTGCGAAATATCAGATGGACGAACCGTAGAACCTCGTGTAGTATTGCAGTGATGTGAGGAAGAGATTCTTTATCTTCTATCTCAGGTAAGCGTTTCCTCCCGAGCACTCGATCGAGTTCTTCATGGGCTGCGACTTGTATCTCGGGGAACTTGGCCGTAGCTAACACGAATGTCGTGAGGGTTGCCACTGTCTATAGCGAATAAGATGCTAGCCGTGCATTCTGCGTTGCGACACTTACTGTATCAGACCCGGCTATGGCGTGAACGAACATATAAGCACGGATGCCCATAAGTTTCATGTATGACATACCTCCATATGCAGTTCCGGTCAGTGACATAAATACTTCGTCCCAGTATGTCATGTCTTCGTTACCGTTGACGCTGGTAAGCAAAGTGGCCAAAAAGCAGGGTTTCTGTTTGCCCTCTCGCTACAGATACGATAGACTGAACTCGACTGATAGCTGCGCCGGTGACTGAGACTTACCACCGACGCCCTGACTTGACTATAGGGGATCTCAAACATACCGTCTACCAAAGTCTTCCACTCGGCAGCTTGCCGTTTAAAGCCAGCCCCGGGAAACCAAGGAGGCAGATGCTTCACTATCTCAATGTTATATGAGATGTATCATTGAGATCACGTTGAAATGACTCACAAACGGGGATCACATCCACTACAAGTGATGTGAGGGCTACACGTGCATATGAAGCTGTGATACGCACCCAGATACACGCCTGAGTTGACTATCTCCATCGAGGTACGCATTGCCTTCTCGACAAGCTCTATTCTAGGGTCACCTGGTCGAACATCGAAGGCATACACCACGTCGAGTATCATAGCCCCGGCCATGCTAACGCAAGGTCAACAGGTCGCGCGATATATCGGGAAAGAGCTACGCTCACAAGCGGATATGCTCCAGGAATCCCTCTGGAGAGTTTAACAGTGACTGGAGCAGGTTAAGAACGGCCTTGGCTTGGCTTGAGTGATACTGCGGAACAGCCAAGGGGCGAAAGTGTTGGTGAAATAATCTTCTACGTTGCCTCCAAGCATCGCCATACTCCATACCGGCCCAGCTGCGGTGCCAACCAGTGCTATTTCTCCGTCAGAACATACACCTGTTAGATAAAATGGTACAAACAGCTCTTGAATCATAACCGTTTGTTGTCTGTGAGATATATTCAACGCCGCACCAGCTGCGCCAATGGCATTCGCATACTGACCTGTCTGAGGAGATACCTGATCGCTTATCGAGAAGATCTTCCGCAGCCTCCATGCTATTGAGGACCACAATATGCAGCCCGAACACCTCGAAGTGGAGGATGTCCGATCCTCAGAGGGAGCCTGTCAGTTACACATGCCTTCCCAAGAGATGATACAGGACTCACCATATCGGCGCCCGAGTTCTCTGTATGTTATCCAGGCATAATCACTGGGTACGTCGAAGAGATTGCCAATGATGGGTAAGCCTTTTGGGCCAGGCGGATAGCACGGACGTTTTGCAAAGTAAAAGGCAAGAATACAAGCGAAGACGAGGCCAACAAATAGGCATGCGAGAGCAGAACGAGAGGAAGCCGGGAGCTCCATGCTGGGTGAGCCCTCTCGAATGCCTGCCGTAACTCAATCCTTGTGTTCATCTGGCAATTATAAGCACCTGTCAAGCTACAGGGCGCGGAACAGAACGCTGCAGATAGCAAATCTCGTTGGAGTATCTGGGGAAGAGAGTTTGTTATCGCTCTTCTCACATGACTAGGAATACGTAACCGTCGTACCGCAGAAGAGCAGACCGAAAGCGGTGCTTCACTTGCGGACGTGGTTTTCCGCACTGCCGGCAAGTCATCCGCAGATGACGGTGATGTCTGCCCGCAGTTTTTTTTTTTCCTGGTACTACCTAGGCACCATGCTGCCTATGCCGCCCGTCCACATCGCCGTTCTCGACGCCAATGGAGCGCCGGTTCGTGGCATCTGTTTACACGCGTCATTCACAGTTGGCATGTCGCGTCCATCCGCTTGGTTGGTGGTACCTGGGGCGACTATCGACGCGGCCTGAGGCCTAGTGAGGGTTGGCGCCGAGCATTGAGCACTGGCACTTGACGAGCGCGGCAGTGATACGTGAGTATTCCAGCTTTGCGGGCTAATTAGGTGCCAATCGCTTATTTGCATACACGTTGGTTCTCAATACCACTGCAACGTGCACAGGGAGTAAGCTGCCCTTCGAAACACGCGGCGCAGAACGGGCGTCCAACTGTTGCAGTGCGGTGATAGCCGACGTACATCCCCGCGATCACGTGAGCGCACGGAACAGGAACTTGGAAGCACTTCGCGCCTCTTCTCCAACCGCTCCTCCAGGCTCTCATTAATTAACAATCGCAGCACGGACGCTACCGAAATGCGATCACGGACGATTGAAAACGCCCTCCAGTCTTTGAAGAGATCAGTTCAGCCCAAGTCTAAAGGAAAGCGCAAGCTGAACGCGACTGAGGAAACGCTTGGGCGCGTTACTTCATACCTTGTGTTCCTGGCGCGTACAAGCCATTCATCTGATTCTCTGTCATCAAAGTTAACTGTGAACGCTTGGATAGAACGGCTCTGCTCTTTCCCTGGATGCTGAGGGCAAGCTGTCGGAGGTGTTCCGGAAGCAGCTGCCAGTGCTGTACGCTGCATCCCCACGTAATGCTCTGGAGTTCGCGTCCACTCTCTGCAAAACGATCTATGAAGAAAAGATTATCAAGGCTCTTACTGCAGGAAAGAGTGAAGAGAGATCACGCTGGGAAGGCGTGCTCAATGCTGTGCTATCTGGTGTTTTGGTGAGCTGCCTTTTGCGCATCTGCACCGCACCTTTCGCCTGACGTCGCACACCAGGACCATCAAGATGAGCATCAAGATGGTGCGTCATGATTACTGCAGTAATTTGGTAGCAATTTGACCTCGTGTGCTAAAATTAGGAAGCTTCAAGGAGATTATTGGTTCCACCCTATATCCCATCCTCTGCTCGGTATTCTCTTCCAGTTCGATCTCTCAAATGGGTCCTGATCTGAGATGCACGGTGAGTTTATACTGGATCTCTTATTCTAGTCTGTGCATCTTAGATGATGCTCTGACATAGGGATATTCCGTTCTCTCTGAATCCGCTGATGGACACAGAGCAAATCAGAAACGTCTACTGGACAAGGATATGCTTGGGGGGCATGTATCACCTTTGTCCTGATCTTTTTGTAATACTGAAATGGGTGGCGACAGAGTCAAGCTCGGCTCTATGCTCTGGAGAACAAAAGGTATGGGATGAACAGAGTCGTCTGTCCAGAAGCTCATTTTCTCTCCAAGATTATCTCGCCATGGAAAGCATCCTCAACTTGTTTGCACGCATGATACCCCCTTCCGGCTCGACGGCGTCTGGTCGCGCGCAGCGGAGAGCCTTCATTCGATCCGTCTTCACTGACTCTAACCCGGACGACCCGAAGACGGGTGAAGAGTTGGCCCACATGGTCGAGCATGTATCTACACCCGACTGGGAGCAGACTGCAACCCGCATCATCGAGACCTTGGCCGCTTCCAACATTGGGTAGTGGGTGTTGTTGACTATATGCGCGTGTCAATGATGGCTTCGGGCTAACCGTATCCACTTTAGTCCTCAGCCATTCAGCATCAGCGAGGTTGTTACTGGAGAAGCCAAGCCGTCGGACCGCATCTTCGTGGATGAGCAGGGATTCTTGGCCAATGTGCTGGTCGAGGTATAGCTCGAGCATGCGATGTCAACGCTTCTGCTGACTATATGCGCCCTTGTGTCTCGTTCAGGACGACCTCTTCGACTCGCTCACTGCCCCTTACTCGACCGTCAAAGCAGTTGAGATATCCCAACGGCCTAGTGCGAAACGAGTGCCTGGGCAGCTAGCGACTGCCCGTACTGTTATTACGCTCTCAACGCCCGCAAAGCTGGGGCAGAAGCCGATCGGCATACTCTCGCCAGAGTTGTCGCCTCAACTTATGTTCACGCTCGGTATGGACGATGTTGAGCGCTTCCGGACAGCTCTCAATAGCCGTGGAATCGTGGGCCGTTTTCGTCATTGTGCCGCCCTCGATCTAACGAGCTGTTTTCCAGGGACACGTTGTCAACGTTAACATGTCCGTTAAGCAATCTATCTCGGTGTTTCCCGCGACTCTCGAGATGGACTTCGCGGGGAACCTGATAGACAGAGACGAGGTGAGATGGCCGTCTTTCGAGACACATCTTCGTTCTCATTCGCGCTTCAGGTGGAACATAGGGCTGAGAATCTGTCTCAACGTAAGTCGCTGGGATACCATCTTGGCCCGGCCTAATCACAACCTCAGTTTACGGAACGAACGACCTCAGCGACGATCAAGACGAAACTAAGAACGAGCGGTTCGCAAATACTATACCTGAGGAAATTCCCTGTATCGATCCAGCATTGCTAACAATCCGACCCCCGGGAACCGACTGCTCATCTACTGTTACCCAGACTGGGAATTCCTCTGCTAATGCTTCTATTTCTGCTGGCCTTTCTACTGCTGTATCCGGACCCGGACTTCCTCCCACGTCGCCCACTGTCAAGCCAGCTATTGCTTCTAGATGCACTCCTATTTCTGCTTGCTCTGCAGCTTTGGCACCTCCTATGACTCCCGTTAGACGTACTGCCAGCCAAGCCCTTCGCGAAAATGTCTTTGGGGCCAGTGACGACGAGCTTTCTCCTACCGAGTCCCCCCCTGGTCCGCCGAAAATCTCCCGGAAGCCAGCCTCGAAGCTTGCATCTCAATCCGCACCACAAAAGACCTCCACCGTCGCCAGGATCGCTCGGGGAAGACGAGTGCTTGACTCCGATGACGAAATGCCTGTCTCTACGCCGACTAAGCTGCCGCCGAAGAGCACCAAAAAGGCTGTGCCTATCTCCGACGACGAAATAGAAGATGTCTTGCATGCCACTAGGTCTCTTGTCTCTCGCCGCCGTTCGGCCCTGCCCATGACTCCGGTGACACCTGCGAAACTTTTGTCTTCTCGCCGGCAGTCTGTCGTGTCTAAGGCCGCCTCGATTATGAAACAATCAGACCCTGCTTCTGGAAAGCTCGCTGTTCCTGCTGCTGTCGCTGGTTCCAAGAATCGTCCCGCCCGGAAGAAGACTCCTGTCTGCATTGATGTTGACCTTGATCCCACTGATGATGAGCTCACTGTCCTGAAAACCAAACCTGTTGCTGCCGACCCGGTTATTCTCGATGGCCTTGACAAGACTAAGGATACGCTCGAATTGGACAGCGGCAAAAATAATAAACGAGGTATATCGATTTTGCTATGCGGCACTGACGATTACTCACCATGGCTGCAGTGCGAATGAGCTCACCGCTAGTGCAGCCCGTGAAGAAGTCCATCAAGGCTTCCCTGCGCAAGAAGGGCCAGCCTTTGCTCGATCCTGCACAGGAGCGAGTGAACACGGAGAAGACCAAGAGGAAGAGGACCGCCGAAGATGAATCTACCGACAGGAACCCCGAAGCCACCGCTTCCAAGAAGATAAGGCTTAGTCGTACGGAGAAGGCCTCCGCTACTCCGCCTGCCGCCGGACCCCAGGATGACAACTTTGTCTTCAAGCCCGACAGTGCCAAGGCGAAGAAGCAGTATCGCGCAAAGAAGGTCCGAACTAGCTCTCCTGCTCACACCGCCGTAGACTTCGACACGATACCGGATCCGACTGCATCTGTGACCAAGTCGAATAAGACCACCGCCTCCAAGGCGTCAAAGAAGGGAGCCGGGGAGCCCACGGCGAACGTTTCGGCTGCGGCCAAGGTCCCTGGTTTGGGCGCGACCGAGCCCAAAGCGGAGGCAAATACCCTGCAAGAGATGCATGTCAAAGCTGAGGTCGGCGGAGCGCCTCCGCCAGACACTGCGAAGGTTGAGAAGGCCAAGTCGAAACGCAAGCCCGCACCTAAGAAGGCTAAAGAGGCGAAGCCTGTGCTTGAAGTTGACGTCAAGGAGAAAGGCAAAGAAGAGTCGCCCAAGAAAGACGTAGGTTACTACTCGTGATCTCGTGAATGTAACCTGATGATATGAGCAGGTTGCAATCCTGAATATCGAGCCAGATGTGCGCAAAGCCGGAGAGGAACATATCTCGCCTACGAAGAAGTCAAAGAAAGCTCCTTGGGAAAGTCTCCACGTAGAGCAGGTCAAAGCTGCTCCGGTATCCATTCCTGCTCCGGTAGACCCGCCTGTCCTTACACCACCCGTTGTGGACCAGGTGGACTCTATCCTCAATGCAACGGAAGCTCAGGTACGCCCATGTTCCAATCCCAGGGAAATGAAAGTTTACTCTATCGATTCAAGCCTGCAGTAGAGCTCGACGATTTCAATGCAGAAGTCGCCGTCATGACTTCGACTCCCCCAAAGAAAATTCGCGCGAACGTCGGGACGGTGCCTGTGGGTCCGGTACAAAAGGTACCTTGTTCATACCTCTGCTTCGCGTTCCAAGCTTAAGCAACACTTACAGAAGATTGATGATGGGTTGGAATTGGCGTATGAATCTCCAATGAAATTCGCTACACCAAGCCCTCTGCCCATTAATCCTGACATGCGTAACGATGCTCCCAGAAAGACAAACCACGAGGTGCTCCTGGCAGCCCAAGCAAGAGCGACCGTTACCTTCGAGGAGCCTGAAACTTCTGTGAAGAAAGTCATTTCTCCTATCATGAAGCCGCAGGCCAGCGCTCTCAGGCCAGCACTAAGGGACAAGAAGCTTGAGTTTGCACCATCCTCGAAGCCGATACCAGCCAAGTTTGACAGGACCAAAGACTCCCCCCGACACAAGAGACCAGAGCCCACCGGAGTAGTGGATGAAATTGCTGCCGTCTTGCAAGATATTCAAGAGGCTGGTTCCCTTCCCGTTCACTGTAGGGAGGCCTGCTCACGCATTGTGCTATAGGCTATTCTGCACAAGATCACCAGCAATGTCGAGAGCGTGCGCCACGATATACGGCGTGGTCGCGACCAGATTCTTGCCGAGGCGGCCGCTGATCTGATGGACATGCGCGCTGAGAGGTAATCCACCTTCATCTCAGTTTCCATTGTAGCGCTTGACGCATTGTCTTCAGCATTGACCATTACAATCGTCTCATCGAGCTTGAATCTGAGTACGCATCCTTTGGGCGAAACCTCACCCATGGTCTCGACGACCTAACCCGCGCGAATCGCAACATCCATTCGGAAATTGAGAAGATTATCCAGACGCATAACAGAAATTCCATCGTGAAACATGTTCCAACTTCACTCTTCGCGACTGGGCTTCCTAACAGCGTCCAACATTTCATGTCCTGACTGACCTCTGTCGCTCTTGCTCACTGTGCTTTGGTAACTGAAGTTCCCTATCCGAATTCGCGAGAAGATTCCACCAGTCCGGAACGTGGCTGCACTGCTTGAGTCTTATCTCTACGTCCTGCTCGCCAACCATTGTCGCAGATCTTCGGATGAACGCTGTATCATACGCCACACATGAATAACATGCTCTTGCACAAAGAAATTTTCGCGGACCTTCACCCATGCAGCCCGCGCCTTGATGCTGTCCAGTGCTTGGTCTAGAGACATCTTGAACGTGGACGTGTCCTTGTCCTTGAAGAAGGCCTTCGTCTCCTCGTAGTCCATCTCGGATGATAGCGCTTCAAATGAGTACTAGAAGGTATATCGTTAGTATGAGATATCGTCCGCTTGATGTCGACATGCCTGGACAAGACGTTGCAGCCGAAAATTGCTGGCAGTGCGCTTATAGAGCTAATAAAGATATTCATAGAGGGATTGAGAAAAATGTAGGGTGTGCTGGGGCACGTACAACATCGTAGTCGGTTTTGAATTTCTCCGCAAGGAACCGACGAGCAGCGTGGTTACCCTGTAGACCAGCGAAGAAGTAGTACAGATCTTGGTCGCGAGCTCTAGTCGTGATGAATTTCCAGGTCTCCTCTGCGATGTGGTTGATTAGAACGTGGATTGTAGAGCCATCGAGAAACTGACCCTGCAATGACCTATCAGTGCTTGCTCCCAAAGCCCGCATTGCAGCATTGCCCATTTGTGGAGTGGGTGGCTTCGAAGCGACGGCCTCAACTGCATCATATTCCTTGCGGCCACCATATCTGACAGCCTTGAATGCACTACAATAAAGCGAGGGCTTGCTTAAAGCAGAAAGCACTTACAGTCCAGTAGGTAGTCGAAATTAAATCAGGGTAAATGCAAGAATCGTCTTCGGTCTCGATTGCTCTGTTAAAAAGTCTCACGAGGTCCGCGATGACGCTGCGAATAGCATTCAGAGCTGTCGATAAGATTACGCCTATCGCTGGACCTACGAGCCATCACCGGCACGCGCCGCTTGTCCGATTGTCACGGTGCGCAGCTGACGAGTGTTGATATCCTCCCCGTCTGCATACTCTATCCCTAGCCGTTTCACGACCGGGATAAGCAGGCTCTTTCAGAATTCATAGCATAAGTTTGAATATCAAGTATGAACAAGAGCATTATACATACTCTGCTGAAGGTATTCAGAGCTTCGACAATGTCTGGCTGTTCAAACCAGACCGAAGATATAGAAGAGAGGCCACTGGAGATGCAACTCCACATCTGATCTACCGGGCATATTAGTAGAACGGCCCACTGAGGACAAGGTGCTAGCGGCGTACAATCATTCTCAGCGTGTAATATTTTATAGAAATTCAAGGTGCTGCTTAGGAGCGAATAACCCGCTTTGGCTAACTCGAGCGCATCAGACGCAAGGCCAAGTCGGTCTCCAAGAGACAGGATGGAGTCCTCCTTGGCCGCCTCTTCGGCAATCTTGGCAAGGCGTTCTGGGCTGTATAAGACACGATCTGAAGGTTATAGTCAGAAACAAACTTTAGTTGAATCTGAATTAGTGCCTTCACGAACACATGCTAACAGTCCCTGCATTGAGCTTGAAGAGCCTGGAGATATCGAGGCTAATGACCTTTTCGCGTTCGTCAAGGAGAACGGTATGGTCGATGAAAGTATTTCCGCTGCCATCTATTGTGAGAAGACTTAGAGGAATCGACCTAAAGATTAATCAGATGGATGAGGAGTCGGCGAAGGTCAGAAATATTCACCAAATGGTCTCATTGTCCTCGGGGACAGCGGGACCGGTCTCCAGGAAACGGTCTTGCCGAACACGGATACCTCCGTCCACTTCAGTGACGTGGACAACGGGAAATCCAATCTATGTGGCATGTGCACATGGTCACGAAATACTACTGAAAATCCCACCTTCTTAACCCAATTATCCATTATTTCCGGGATATCCAAGCCTACGCGAGCGTCAGACATTTCAGATATAACAAGTCCTAATGTCTCACCGCTCGCCTCCGCTATGCCTTGCCACAAGTCCTTCGTCACAGCGTTCCCATACAGGTGTTTCTTCAAATATATCGATACGCCCTTCAGGAACTTCTCTTCCGTGACATACTGCGAGAGCATTCTGAGGACTGTTGATGACCGAATCAGTCGCCGATTATACATAGCTTAGATAGCGTTACTTACTAGTAGCAGCCTTGTCATAGGATAGCGCATCGAAGATCTGATTCGCCACATTCGCGTCAAGACATTCCACCTCGATGGGGTGCGAAGAAGCCTTGGCGTCAAGCGTCATGGCCGCAACCAGCTCGCTTGTGATAAACGCTGGGCGTAATTTCCACTCAGGAAAGAGTCTGTATCTTCGGCGTTAGTATTTTCAGACCCCAGAGCAGTAAGAAGCCTACTTGTCTACCCAAATTACTAGGATCAGATCGGTATATGCAATGGAACGGTGGCTACATACCAAGTATGATGGTCTCGCCTAGCAAGCGAGCAAAGCCCTCTTTCAGATATACCGTGTCCCACCACTCCATGGTCGTAATATTGCCGAACCACATGTGTGCGACTTCGTGGCACACCGTGGAGGCCACATATTTCTTACCACTTAGATCCGCCTGGTGCGGATCCAGCAGAAACGCAGACGTCCGACCCGTAATCAGACCCCAGTTCTCCATCGCGCCGATAGTGAAGTCAGTCGCAACGAGAAGGTCGAGCTTCGGAAGTGGATATTCGATGTCGAAAACTTGCTCGTAGAGGGGTAGTACTCTGCGGTTGACGTCCAGCGCGAACCGCGCTTGATGGATCAAGTCCGGAGTCGTGTATATGCGAAGTGGCCGAGTCTTCCCGCTCAGCGGACTGCTGTACGATTCCTCGAGGTGCCTGAAAGGACCGTTCGCCCAAGCAATGATGTACGTCGATATCAGAGGGGTTGTTTGGAAGGTGGTGATTTTCCACTGCCCGTCCTCGCCTGCTGAGAGCTTAGAGGACAGTAACGATGCAATGTCTGATTTGACCTGAGGCGCAGAAGGGACGTAGACCGTCTCCGAAAGGGCAGACATGTTAGCGAGGTTGATCGTGTCGACACGGGAGATCATCGTGACGGCAAAGGTGGCTTTGAGGGCGGGCTCATCCCAACAGGGGAAGGCACGCCTCGCAGCAGTGGGCTATAGTGTACACTTCAATCACTTGCATGACAGGGCAGTTAATGATGTCCACTAACTGTCCACTAACCTCAAAATGCGTGAGTGAGTAGTACGCAGTTTTGCCTTTGTGCTCCCAAGTGGAACGGTAGTAGCCCATCATGGCGCCAGTGAGTTTAGCTTCGAACTCGAGCTCCAAGCTTGCCTTGGCCCCGGCGGGAAGCGTTAAGGGTAAGTGCATTGTAGCTCGTTCATCCGCTTCGCTGAACGTCAGATCTGGGGCATTCTGCACGACGGGTTCGTTCAAGGAAGGTGAGGTGAGTTTTACACGACCGAGCTCTAGATTAGAGACATGAAACTGGATGGACCGAGTGTCTCTCACGACATCCAGCCTGTTCAAAACCATAAGCATGAACACAATGATTATATGCTGTACAAAAAAGTGCTTACTGCACAGTGACGCAGCCATCGAACTTGAGTCCTTCAAGGTCGGTGCAGATGATAAGGTCATAGTGCGTGGGCGTCACGTTTGTCGGAAGCCTGTACCGGTCTGTGTCGTCACCCATCTCGACAGCAAAAGCAATGCGGGACGTTCAAAAAGAAGTGTCCTGCTAGTGTACGTCGAAGTGTTACCGAGTTATATCTGCGTATGTAGCTGCACAGCCTGAATCAAGGGCTGGAGCTGCGCCTTAGGGAAGCTTTCAAAAGGTCTACTCGCATTCTCACCAGGGTTGTGGCGGCTATCGATCTGGTCAGCAGGACTTCATCGTGGCATCCAGACCATCTGTACAAAGTCGCGGACCTGTGCTTCAGAGTTTGGATATGCGGTTACATAAACAATGCCCATACGATGTACGAGCAGTTAGATATCCCCGTGCTTCACAGTACAGCCCCACCCCAAATAACACATCGCCTCACGCCCGGCTAGACAGCCACCGTCGGAGATCATCGGACGAACGCTGCGCAAACACGACCATGGTGTGAATATTCATGAAGGAGAAATGTGGAAGCCGATATACGTACCTCGACCCAGGCAGCTCGCGCCTTGATAGTATCGAGCGCCTGCTCCAAGGCCATCTTGTATTTTGACGTGTCCTTGCCCTGGAAGAATGCCTTCGTCTCCTCATAGTCTTTTCCAGAGGCCAAGGTGTTGAAGGTACGCTTCAGCATTACGTTAGCACTCGCTTTAGTAGCCTAGTGGTAGAATGGCTTTACCCGAATGAGGCCCTGTATGCTGAAGTTGTCAATGAAACGTTGATACAGCTGTACAGAGTACATTATGAGTCCTGCATCCCAAGCGAGAGCATCATGGTGAAACGTACCGCATCGTAATCCTGCTTGAACTTCTGCACGAGGAATCGGCGGGCGGCATAATTCTCCTGGAGACCAATGAAAAAGTAGAACAAGTCCTGATCGCGAGTCTTCGTCATAATGTATTGCCAGGTCTCCTCTGCACAACTCGTAAGCCAATGTCGTCGGCAGAACGATAGTAGAACTTGCCTTGCAAAGCCTTATCCTGGCTGGCTCCCATAGCACGCATACCTGCGATGCCCATCTGCGGGGTCTTCGGCTTGGAGGTAATCGCCCTAACGGTATCGTACTCTTTGCGCCCGCCCTTCTGGACGGCCTGTGCGAGACAGGGTATAAACAACATAATCACAACAGAGAAAGGGCGGAGCGCACGAGGCGGTATGTGACCGCTGTCAGATCAGGCGGAATATACGAATCATCCCCAGTCTCAACAGCTTGTTTGAACCTCTTCAAAAGCTCCGCCACGACACTGCGAAACGAATACCGTCAGCATACTAGTAGCGCGCGACATCGTTATTCTACGTACGATTCATCACCTGCATCTGCAGATTGCAGAATTGCAGTTGTCCGCAGCTGACGTTGGTCGATGTCCTCGTCTTCAGGGTAATCATATCCGAGGCGTTTGACAATCGGTACGAACAGTTCCTACAGGCGAACCGGTCAAATTCCCCTGCGAACTAAATAAGTGAAGTGTGACCCACCCGGCGGAATGCATCCAGCTCCCGGAGAATATCTGCATGCTCGAACCAAGTGGACGAGAGAGCATACAAGCTCTGCGAGATACTACTCCAGATCAAGCCTGAAGACAAATGATGTGAATCGGCAACATTCTGGAAACGGGAACACAGAACACATACATTCCTTTTCGTTGCGGAAAGCTTCGTACAGCGTAAGTGCACTGCTGACCTCCGTATAGCCGGCCTTCGCAAGCGCAAGCGCGTCGTAAACCAGTCCAATGCGATCCTCGCGCGAGAAAACAGAGTTTTCCTTAGCGGCCTCTTCGGCGACCTTGACAAGACGTTCCGGGCTATACAGGACGCGGACTACAGGAATGGTCAGAGCAATAGATGAAAGTCGCAACGAGCGGACATACAGACGCTGACCGTGCCTGCGTTCAGCTTGAACGGTCTCGAAGTATCGAGAGGAATGAATTTCTCGCGCTCGTCGAGAAGGATGGTGTGATCGACGGACGCTTTGCCGTTCGAACCGACGGTCAGGAGACTCAACGGAATTGACCTGCACGAAACGAAACGCATATATAAACCATGGTACCACTACTAAAGCAGGAATACCTACCAGATCGTTTTGTTGTCCTTGGGATCAGCAGGGCCGGTCTCGAGGAAACGATCTTGACGCACACGGATACCTCCGTCGACCTCGGTAACTTTGACAACGGGGAATCCCATCTCTCATGGCCGTCAGCGGAATCGAACACAAATGACGCAGAAGGTGTACCTTTTTGACCCAGTTGTCCATCACTTTCGGCACGTCCAAGCCTGTTGGAACTCGGTTTAGCTAAATACAAGAAATAGACGTGTGCATGTACTCACCGCTAGCCTCAGCAATTCCTTGCCATAGATCCCTAGTGACAGTGTTCTTGTACAAGTGTTTCTTAAGGTAAATCGACACGCCCTTCAGGAATTTCTCTTCCGTGACATAACGGGAAAGCATGCGGAGTACTGCAAAAGCATTGTTTCGACTGAGTCAGCTAGCTCACAGGCACGTATGCGGTTACTTACCGGAAGCAGCCTTGTCATAGGACAGAGCATCGAAGATCTGGTTTGCCATTTCTGCATCGGGGCATTCGACTTCGATTGGGTGTGAAGACAGTTTGGCATCGAGGCTCATGGCCTGGTTGAGCTCGTTCGAGATGAACGCTGAGTGAACTTTCCATTCAGGGAACACTCTGCAGGATCATGTCAGCATTTTCTCTCGTGATATGTCGATTTTAACACACTTGTCTGTAATCCAGGCTTAGTCGCAGCCTTAATAACCTCAGGTCAAAGAACGCTCACCAAGAATGATCGTTTCGCCCATCAATGAAGCGAAGCCTTCGTTGAGGTACAGGTTATCCCACCATTCCATAGTCGTGATGTTACCGAACCACATGTGTGCGACTTCATGGCTCTGTGTTATCGCAACGTTCTTCTTGCCGTTGAGATCCGACTTCTTGGGGTCCAAGAGGAATGCTGCAGTTCGTCCGGTGATCAAACCCCAGTTCTCCATGGCGCCAGCGTCAAAGTCTGTCGCGACAAGGGTGTCGAGTTTCGGAAGCGGGTACTCGATGTCAAAGACCTGTTCGTAGAGAGGAAGGACTTTGCGCTTGACGTCGAGCGCGAATTGGGCCTGGTGAATCAAGTCTGGGGTTGTGTAAACGCGTAGTGGCCGAACCTTGCCGCTAAGCGGGCTCTTGTACGTGTCCTCGAGGTACTTAAAGGGACCGTTCGCCCAGGCAACAATGTACGTAGACATTGGCGGCGTCTTCTCGAACTTGGTGATCTTCCACTCGCTACTCTCGTCTGTAGTCACCGCGGAGAGCTTCGAGGACAGCCAGGAGACGACATCCGTACTCTCCTTCAGCGAGGGGGAGTAGACGTCTTCTGAGATGGCAGGCATGTTGGCGAGGTTGACCGTATCGGCGCGAGAGATCATCGTCATGCTGAACGTAGCTTTGAGAGCGGGTTCATCCCAACAGGGAAAGGCGCGCCTTGCAGCGGTAGGCTTACGCAGGAGGAGACTCCGTAAGACTTCATCGTGTCATATGCCACAAGTAAACACGCACCTCGAACTGTGTGAGAGAATAATATGCGGTCTTTCCTTCGCGCTCCCAAGCGGAACGGTAGTAGCCCATCATTGCGCCAGTGAGTTCTCCTTCGAAGTCGATCTTCAGTTCAGCTTTGGTGCCAGCGGGAAGCGTCATGGGAAGTTCAAGGGTGGCACGCTCTTCCTCTTCGCTGTACTTCAAGGATGATGCCTCTTGAACAAAAGGTTCGTCTAAAGACGAAGACGCAAATTTAGCGTGACCGAACTTCAGCTTGGAAGTATGGAACTGGATGGACGTGGTGTCACGGACGATGTCTAGGCTATCAGCTAGGGTGTTAGATAGAAGCACCACGCGTATGACTGCTACATACTGAGTGGTGACATAACCGTCAAATTTGAGTCTTTCCAGATCGGTACGAATAGTGAGATCATAATGAACGGGCTTCACATTTGTCGGTAGCCTGTACTGGTCTGCAGATTTAGGAGCCTTTGCTACAGGGCCAGCCATCCTTGAGTGCGTGTAGCAGTTTCGGATAAGGTGATGTGGCTTGTACGAATGGTGACAGGGAACAAGAGGCTGCGATCTACGAGCGCGTCCAGATGCAGGTATCGAGCATTCAAATGGCGTACGCCACGGAGTCAATGTGCCACGATTATCGATGAGTGGTGCTGGGAGCCATATGCTTCGTCTGGAGCAGCTGCTGATGCCGGCTGTTGTCGGCAGGAACTTTTGTGGACATTTCGAGGACGGCGAGATGAGCGACGTCCAGAACATGAAGAGTTCAACTCGCTAGTGTCCTCCGAACTGTGAGACCAGCGTAAGCGCTAGACGAGTGCCAGGCGCCTCCAAGACCCTAGGCCTGCACAAGACTGGAAGGACGACATTGCAATTGACTGGGAGAGCAAGTACAGTAAATTGCTCATTTTTGACCAGTAGAGTGGCCAGTGTTGTCAAGTAGCAAGCAGTCGCTCAGAAGCGGGTGGCCTTGGCCTGACATGCACTTGCTTACGCGCACTCCTGTCTCCCTCCCTAGACGATGTATGTCGTACCTCGATACCGCCGTCCAGTGCTGCACCTAAGTTCGTTCGAAGTTGCATTCGACACCGGCTTTCCTCTATAGTTGCCTCCCCCGAAACCGGCCGCGGGTGATCGCTGCCACCTAACTTAGAAGGGAGGCGGTTTCTTGGCTGCACGCGGGGTCTCACCTTCTTGAGGGTCCGTTGCGGTTCTGCGACCTTGTCATTCCCTGTCTTTGTCTCGTATATCCACAAATACGCGTGCGACGGGCGGGATCTCCTTTAAAGCAGCTGTGCTACGCACTCCACATACGATACCGGCTGTTCCAGAACACTTGAAGAGAGTTATGACGATGACATATGCGTGCTCGGTTACCTTGTCAGAGGCGATCTTCTACACAACAGGCCGACTATCCATCTCCTGCAGACGGTGGACGTTCACGTTTGGAGATCGATGTTGAGCACTAAGCTCTTGGCGCCATATTTGTGCGATGATTGTAGACGAATTCCCCTGTTGATAGGTTGTGACCTTGACATCTGGCCGCGTATGCATAGTTAGTCGGTCACCTACAGAGTCAATGTTCCAACAGCGCGCGACGCACATGCTCCGAAACTCCGGGGCGAGCGACACATTGTGGCGTCATCTCTGGTCTCATTCTCTCCCCAAGCCTTCACCCCGTACCGGCGTACCCGGAAAAATTACTTCGCAATACTCACCAGTCCTAGGAATAGCTGCAAAGAGGGCGATCGTTTCTCCGGGAATGCCATCGTTGGCCTGTCAAGAGTCTTCCTAGACTCCGATATCGCTTCTTATCCGACAGCGGTCGAAAGAAGCGAACAAGCCTAAACGTCCCAAAGTCGGCTTTCCTGTGTGTGTGAGGCCATACCGAAGCTGGGCTTTGACATGCTCGGACGAAGGTTCTCGTGGGCAGCAAAGCACTAGAATATCGTCTATCAAATCTAGAATTACAAAAACCTGTGTCGATGTGGCGGCCTCTTATTACTGATATTGTGGACGCGCACGATGGTTAAGACATCAAATCTGCAACTGAAAAAGCTAGGAGCTTGTTTAAGCGTACTGTGAGAACGAGTGTGGCCAAGGCAGTCGGACGTTACCTCATACGATTGGAGCATACCGGCCACAGTTTCACTCCAGTCTCCAAGCGTAGCGGCAGCGAGTGATTCGCTTCATAACATCTCAAGCTCTCAAGGCTGAAATCTGAGAATAGAGCTATCGCCTGAGTGGCTCGAGCTGCCCATAGGTGACATGACGAAGAGCACGAGGCCCGCCCGCCATTGGGGGACAGCGGCGGTCGGCCGTCGGAGGCCCGGAGAGCGACGCAGGAGAGGCGCCGAAGCCGGCCTGGACTCCGGCCAGGAACACTCCAGCGTCCACACAGCCCTCTACTCTTGGTCATCGCCGTTCACCACCCTCGTCCTCCTCCCGTCGTTCCGTTCACTCACCCCGACTTCTCATCTCTTTGCAGGCTAGGGCTAGCCCCTTCTCCCTCATGTCGGCCACACAAGGTGCACTGTAAGTGCAACTCGTCTAACTCGCCTCCTCGGTGTGCTCACCCCGCAGCAGCAAAAAGATCAGGATTACAGGCGAGTATCTACTCCCGCTCGCGTGAATGCAGGCCCTGACAGAACTCGCAGTCGTCGCCGCCGATGGCTTGTCAAAGCGCGAGGTATTTCGTCTTCCAGACCCCTTCGCGGTCATCACGGTAGATGCGGAGCAGACCCACACGAGCACTGTGATGAAGAAGACCTTGAACCCGTATTGGAACGAGAGCTTCGACATGTATGTAGCGTACGCTGGTCCCCCCGCGCTGTCCTGACAGCTCTGTAGCAACGTCAAGGACTCGTCAGTCATCGCCGTACAGATATTCGATCAGCGCAAGTTCAAGAAGCGTGACCAGGGTTTCCTCGGAGTCGTGAATGTTCGTGTCAGTGATGTGCTCGACCTGGAACTTGGTGGTCATGGTGCGTGATCCCCCTTGTTTACCAATAGCCGTGCTCTAATGCTTTTTCAGAGATGCTCACCCTCGACCTGAAAAAGTCCAATGACAACCTCGTCGTGCATGGCAAACTCATCATCTATCTTTCTACCAACATCAGCCAGCCGATTAGCAACCCTCCGAACCAAACGGATAGTACTAGCCAGCAACTTTCCAACCTCAACCTTGACAGCTCGTCGACGTCTCTAGCTACGGGCGCAAGCAACGGAGCGCTTGCTGCCGGGGGTAGCTCTTTGTCCAGAACCCCCTCAGCGACGGCTTCGGCCACTACCAGCCCCGACGGCGCGCACATCAACATACCCGCACCAAGCGTAGCCACTCCTTCGTCGCCCGAGACTGAGCCGCAAGCGCAGGCACAGTCTGGAACAAACGCGCGCCCAGTGTCCACTGGCTCCGTCACTGCAGCTGCGGTGATCACGCCACCGGCTGGAGCTCCTGCCATCAATGCCAGCGCGAACGCCCATACTGCCTCGAACAACAACGCTCAGATGCGCAACTTCAACCCACACGAGGATCAATTTGGACCCCTCCCGGGCGGCTGGGAGCGCCGCATAGACCCCCTCGGCCGTACGTACTACGTCGATCATAACACCCGTACTACCACCTGGAATCGCCCGTCCACGAACCCAACGACAAACACACATGCACAGGAGGGCAGTACCAATGCGGCCCGCGACCAACACAACCGTCGCATCCTCGCCGACGACATGCTGGAGGCGGGCGTTGCTCGCACGGGGTCGACGGCTGCTAACACTTCTGCGGCTGCGCTTGCTGCAAGCCAGAATGTCACCACCAATGGTGCTGGTCCCCTTCCTGCTGGCTGGGAGGAGCGATATACTCCCGAAGGCCGTCCATACTACGTCGACCACAACACACGAACGACAACGTGGGTTGATCCGCGCCGTCAGACGATCATTCGCGTCATGGGCCCCAACGGGCAGGGTGCTGCGCTGCAACCCCAGACGATCTCGCAACTTGGCCCCCTTCCTTCGGGATGGGAGATGCGTCTTACCTCAACCGCTCGTGTTTACTTCGTGGATCACAACACGAAGACGACCACCTGGGACGACCCTCGTCTGCCATCCACGCTTGATGCCAATGTGCCGCAGTACAAACGCGACTTCCGTAGGAAGCTCATCTATTTCCGCAGCCAGCCTGCTATGCGCGCACAGCCTGGCAATTGTCAGATCAAAGTCCGTCGTAACCATATCTTTGAGGACAGCTATGCCGAGATTATGAGGCAAACTCCGAACGACCTCAAGAAGAGGTTGATGATTAAGTTCGACGGCGAAGATGGTTTGGATTACGGTGGTCTCTCTCGGTACGTTCATTCTCTTATTGAGGGCAACGTACACCATATTGACCCTTTGGCAGTGAATTCTTCTTCCTCTTGTCGCACGAGATGTTCAACCCCTTCTACTGTCTCTTCGAGTACTCTGCTCACGACAACTACACCCTGCAAATTAACCCGGCCTCAGGAGTCAACCCAGAGCATCTGAACTACTTCAAGTTCATTGGTCGTTGTCTCGGCTTGGGTATCTTTCACCGTCGCTTCTTGGATGCTTACTTCATCACTGCCTTCTACAAGATGATCCTGCGGAAGAAGGTCACCTTGACGGACTTGGAGAGTGTGGATGCCGAGTTGCACCGCGGTTTGACCTGGATGTTGTAAGTACCTATCCCGCCTTATTACTCTTGCATTTCGACTAACCATCAACTCAGCGAGAATGACATCACCGATGTTATCGACGAGACATTCACCACTACAGAAGAGCGCTTCGGCGAAATGGTTACCGTTGAGCTGAAGCCTGGAGGTGCTGACATCGCCGTCACGGAGGAGAATAAGAAGGAATACGTCGACTGCGTTGTGGAGTACCGTATCTCCCGCCGTGTTAAGGATCAATTCGAGGCCTTCATGTCTGGCTTCAGCGAGCTCATTCCGCAGGACCTCGTCAACGTGTTTGACGAGCGCGAGCTTGAGCTTCTGATCGGCGGTATGTCCGAGATCGACGTGTAAGTTCAACTCGTGTGTGTATCACGTTGATATGTACTTATGTATGCTCTGCAGCGACGATTGGGCGAAGTTCACGGACTATCGTGGCTACGAGGTCAACGACGAGGTTGTACAGTGGTTCTGGAAGTGCGTTCGCAGCTGGCCGCCGGAGCGCAAGTCCCGCTTGCTGCAATTCGCCACGGGCACGTCGCGCATTCCCGTCAACGGCTTCAAAGACCTGCAAGGTTCCGATGGCCCGCGTCGGTTCACGATCGAGAAATCGGGCGACCCCAGCCAGCTGCCGAAGAGTCACACGTGCTTCAACCGCATCGACCTTCCGCCATACAAGGATTATGCTACATTGGAACAGAAGCTGACCTTGGCTGTAGAGTGCGTATCTTGTCATTTTGTCTCGCAGATACCGTGTACTAATCCGCGCGTCACAGAGAAACTGTCGGTTTCGGACAAGAGTAAAGCAGTTAGAAAACACGGATCCGTTTGTCCCTCTCCTATTTTCACTGTCCTCGAAGATACGGTATAATGTACAAATATCGGTCGTCGAAAGCTCGCGCCCTAATAACGATTCCCTCCGGCATCTGATGACTCTTTCTCACTTCATGTATATACTGCTTCCTCATTGGTTTTCTTCTTCATTCTTTTGCCATGCTTTGGTGCTCTAGTGCACCGGTTGTATCTTAGTGGCGAATGTATCACTGTTACCCTGCACGACTGTACGGCTCAGCGGGCTGTGTCTCGCTCGGACGTGTACACAGCCCCTCGCGTGAGAAGCTGGGCTCGCTCACTGGGTTTTGCTACGAGTGCGGCTCAAATTTCGCGAATTTACAGCTCGCGTTACGAGATTGAAACGTTTTCCCCGCATGCGGTTTTGATTTCCGAGGGATGGGGAGAGCGGCGTGCGGCTGCGCACAGTACGTTTGCATGCGAGCGCTGCCGCGGCCGCGACGACGTCCTCCCTTGTTCCCAACTTTCACGCTGGGACCTTCCTAGCATACTCATTTCATCTAATCTTTCGATTGTTTGTGACGCTTGGTCCCGTCGTAAACACCTTTCCTAGGCTTCAAAATGCCGGCTTTCGATCCAGTGCGCGATGCCGTGCTCAACTCGCCTGTGACTCCAGCGAAGCCTCTCCCCTTTCGCCTTGATCTACCCGCCAACAACTTTGCCAATTCCTCACCAGGACCTTCAGGCTCTGAATTGGCCAATGCGGCGCAAAGCCCACTGACGAGACGGGCAACGCACTTGTCGATGTTGTTGAACGACGACCCGCCACAAGAGCCCTCATCATCGAGCTCGCAGTCGCTTTTCACGCCCACTACACCCCGCGGACCAACATCTTTCTCCCATCTCTTACACCCAGACGAACCTTCGCCGACGATCAATGAACAGCTTGCACATGCGGCACCTTTGCAGCGCAGGAGACCATCAGTCGTCGAACGCGACTCGGGGAGCCGAGACGCAGGTGGGTACTTCCCTGCTCCCCCAGCACGTTCCTCTCTTGCATTTCCGTCTGGCCAGGAGGTGAGTATATATGCGCTACTTTTTCCACCTCACCAGAGCTTAACTTCCCGTCTTTTTCATACAGCCTTCGCCCTCCCCCACCATGTTTGGCAGCGACCGCACCACTTCTGGTTCACGTCCGACTACCGCAACTCCCTCCGACAACGAGGTGTCACGCGAGCGTATGCCACGTCGAAGGTCCTCTGGAGCGTCTGACTTGTTCGGAGGTGCAAGTGCATTTACCCCTACCACCAGCTCTCCACTTGCGCTCCCAGGGAACGTACAAGAAGCACACCGCTCGCCATCCCCACCTCGCTCTAGAGAGTCCCCCATACGTCCCCTGGCTGCGCTTCCTGCTCGGGCGGCCTCTCCCACCACAACTGCCTCGCGGCCGTCAACGTCAGGCTCTGCAGCGATGACGAGATCGGAATCGCCCAACCACAGGAAGCGGTCAGACTCGAGGAGCTACAGCAGCATGCCCCCGCCTCCGCAGCCATCGACGCCCAAGTCCTCGCCGGAAGAGCCCAAGTCTGCGACGCCCCCGGCGTTCACGAACTCGCGCTCGAGCGTGCCGTATGCGCCGCGGAACCGCATTACGCCCCCTGCGTCTGTGCTGGTGCCGCTGAGCCGTGATGAAATCGAACGATACAAGTGCGTGCCGTGGTTTATGCTGCGAGTCTGGCCGTGCTGAATTCGCTTCCAGGAACTTTACCGGTGGTTTGGGGACGCAGATACTGAAGCGCAAGCGCAAGAACTCAGATGCCGAGAAAGAGACAGACGACAGGCCGGTGAAACGTAATAGGGACGTCACGATTGTCGCTGAACACTGTGAGTCGTGTGCTAGTTCGCACTCCCCACACATCTCATAGTCTCTCCCAGACAACGCTCGCCCGGAGGTTGGTCTTGCGCAACGCAGGGACTCGCCTATCATTGGTCTCAAAAACTTTAACAACTGGGTCAAGAGCGTGCTGATCATCAGCCAAGCACACCCTGTCGTCTCAAAGAGCGACTTCACCGGAACTTTATTTGGTTCAGCTGGCGGTGGTATGCGCGGACCTGCACGTGGAGCAGGAAAGGTCCTCGAGATTGGGTGTGGCAAGGGCGGCGACCTCATCAAGTGGTCTAAGGCCAAGATCAAGGACTTTGTCGGTATCGGTAAGACATGTTCAGAGTGTGCACGCGCCTTGACCCTGACTGACGCCTTGTGTAGACGTCGCCTCTGTCTCGATCGACCAAGCCCGGATGCGCTACGCACAGCTGCGGCCGCCAAAGTACACTGCGTACTTCACTGCTGCGGACTGCTACACCCAGCTACTCAGCGACGCCCTCCCTGAGAACGTCCTGCCGCCGGTAGCAGCAGCTTTCGATGTTGTCTCGTTGCAGTTCTGCGTGCACTACGCCTTCGAGAACGAGGACAAGGTCCGAACGATGCTTACCAATGTCACAAAATGGATGAAACCTGGTGGCAGGTTCATCGGCACTGTCCCCAACGAGAAGTGGTTAATGTGAGTCTCGTTGTGTTACGATGGCGAGTCAGAAGCTGACTTGTGTTGGTTAGGGAGCGTCTAGATGGGATTCCGGAAGACGCAAAAGAGCTCGAGTTCGGCAACAGCGTGTATAAGGTTCGCTTCCAGGATCGCAACGAGAGGCCGCTGTACGGACACCGCTATTGGTTCTACCTCAAGGATGCCGTCGAGGATGTCCCGGAGTATGTCGTGCACTGGGACAACTTTGTAAAGTAAGTCATACTCACTTTTCTCACCTTAAGCACTGGCTGAGTGTGGATGTGTAACAGACTCGCCTCCGAGTACGACCTGGACCTGATTTACGAAAAGGAATTCCACGAAGTTTATGCCGATAACGAGGAACATTCGGAGTATGGTCCGATGCTTCAACACATGAAAGTCGTCGATGCCAACGGCGAAAGTCAAATGGATGAGGATCAATGGGAGGCTGCCAGTAAGTGCCAATCCTGCTTGTACCGCCTGGCTTGCCACTCACAACATATTAAGACATTTACATTGCATTCGCATTCGAGAAGCGAGTCAGATAGGCACTCCGCGGAATCCAAGGGTGTTGATCCTCGCTCTCTTCTAGGTTAGCTACTGTCAGCGCCAGGTCAGCACCGAGGGCCCCGCAGCAGGCTCGCGAGAGCCGGTCGCGGCGTGACTTCGTGTTGTAGGGCGCATGGCCGAGCCATGCTTATTATCACGCCACGTATATCAGTATGACGGCCACACCTGGTGGCCTTCTGCATCTCCGCGCAAAGCTGTATTGATACCCAATGCATACAAATATCAACGATCAATGAGCTGTGCATGGTGTCCGCAGGCGGGTCTAGTTTGTCGCAGCTATTACGGTGCCTGTGGGGTGTATGGCTGTAATTCCGCGACAACGCGGCCTGTAAGCAGCAATTTGATTAAATACTATGTACTTATTCGGCAGCAGAGCTTGCTCTGCAGGGTTCACGCGAGGCAGGAGTGGGGCGGAAGCGCGCACGGAGAAAAGCGGTCGCATATCGGCCATCACCGCGCCACGATGGGATTTACAGGCGCCGGGATGCGATCCCCGCACCATCGTCCCACCGACGAGTCCACCGCTTCCGCTGACCTAGTGGAGCTCTCGACTCGAAGATGTTCCGCCTCGTATTTTTGCAGATAAAGCTGTGAATGTGCGTGCTCGGCATGGCGGTCCGCACTAAATCAACGCAGGAGTTACAAATCCCGTACCGAAGTTCGAATAAGGTTCGCACATGACGCTGGTCCGCGTGATGTCCATGAGAAAACTCCACCGAAATGTGGACAGAGAAGCAGCTCTGAGTCGCTTGCGCTACCCACGATGTCTGCTATCTGGCCATTTGAGGTAGACAACCACAAATTCAGGTTCCTCTCTCTCCCGAGTGCCAATACAATTTTCCTGGTGACTTATTTCCGTTCTTTGTAGCCGCCTTGCGGTTGCATAAGTACTTATACTTATACTAGGACTACGCTAAGGTTCGATTCACAATGGTTGCTCTCAAGTTTCCACTTGACTTAGAGTTCCCGATGACCTTCTATTATGCACCCGCGTATCTATGGGCGTGCATCTTCTTTACCTGTGTACTCGTTGCTCGCTCCAGAAAGCGGCCGCGCTACCCACCGGGCCCCAAAGGGCTACCATTTATTGGCAATTTGCTTGATATACCTGATGACCACGCCTGGCTAAAGTACAGGGATGTGGGGCGGCAGTATGGTACGCGTTCTGCATTTCTTTCAGCATGAAGCTCTACCACTGACAAACTGCTACCTAGGGTAGAATGTGATTCACTTCCAAACTCTTGGGTCGCACATCATGGTTCTTAACAGTGCAAAGGCTGTGGGAGATCTTCTTGACAAGCGCTCGAATATATATTCAGACAGGTGAGCATGCAATTATCGCTCGTGTGGTGACCGCGAGATTCAACAGATTTCATGAACAACAGACGGCCATGCTGCATACTGCACGTATGATCTCGTTGGTAGGAGGTGGTTGGTCTGAATGCGTTGTAGAACTGGTTGGAACCGTAGCTGGGCCTTAATGAAATATGGCAACGATTGGAGGGAATACCGCAGGCTAGCACATCAAGAGTTTCGCTCGTCAGTAGTGCGGAAGTATGATTCAAAGCAGGCTAAGGGAGTCCACGACCTGCTACAATCCCTGCCGAGCTCTCCTGAGGAATTCATGGGGCACATCTGTTTGTAAGCGCAACTCTCTTTGGACATCTCTTGCGGCCCGTTAACTTCAGTTTAGCATGGCCGGAGCCATCATACTGGACGTCGTGAACACTTTCGATGTGCGACCAGGCGATCCTAGGATAGAGCTCATCGAAGAGGCCATGCATACATCCATGGAAATTATCACTGCGGGTGTATATTTAGGTATGTATTACAGCCCCATACACAGGCGTAGTTCTGAAATTATTAACAGTGGACTTGGTACCCATTTGTAAGTTGAGCTGACGTGATCTTAGCAATGCACCTGACATAGCATCAAACAGTGAAGCATCTTCCATCTTGGTTTCCTAGGGCTGGTTTTAAGCATCAGGCCGCCAAGTGGAAGACTCTTGTGGATGGTATGTACGAGATTCCTTATAGTCAACTTAATACATCGATGGTACGTTTTGCTGCTGTGGAGTGATCCTGAGCTGAGATCAGCACGCTCTTCCTGCAGCGAGAGGGCAACGCAGAGCCTTGTTTAGCCGCCACCTTGCTTTCCAGAATTGAGGATACCGAAGATGCGACAGACTTTGACAACGTATTCATGTCTGTGACTGGGACTATCTACGGAGGTATGCTATATCCATGCCATATTGGTCATCACGCTGATATTTTTGTTGGCGTAGCTGGTGCTGATACAGTAAGTGTTAAAGCGCGAGACGAGCTGCTTATAGCTCAGGTGATACAATGTAGACAGTGGCGGCCCTCACCACATTCGTCTTGGTCATGACTATGTTCTCGGTCACACAGCTCGCAGTCCACGAAGGACTTGATCGAGTCCTGAGCAGGAAGCGCCTGCCCGAGATGGAAGATCGAGGGTCTCTGCCTCGCATCACTGCTAACCTTTATGAGCTTCTACGGTTAGTTCACATATCTTCTGGGTTTATTATGCTTGTTTATAGTGGTCTAGTACCCGGTCGGACCGCTTAGTAGGTGTTTGTGCCCATCGACTTTAAGCCGACTTTCACGATACACTGGTAGCGATTCCGCATCGGACCACTACTGATGACTACTATCGAGGGTATTATATATCAGCCAGGGCTATCGTATTTGGTAATTGCTGGTATGCTCAACACTGCACCTATGTGATCTCTTCTGATTTTGAGTGGCCAGGGCTATATTACGCGATACGAACACCTACCCTGATCCTGACACCTTAAAGCCAGAGCGGTTCCTCAACGAAGACAGATCGTTGAGGAACGATGTGCCATATCCTACTGAAGCATTTGGTTTCGGCCGGCGGATCTGTCCAGGACGCCACTTCGCACATGATATCATGTGGTTGGACATTACGAACATCCTCGCTGTCATCAAAATTGAACATGCCATCAACGTCAAAAACGGGGACGAGCTCGCGCTGAAAGGAGAGTTTACTCCCCGTTTCATCAGGTAAGCAAATACCATGATTAGCCGGCAGGCTTGCATGCTAAGACAACCAAACAGTATGCCAAAACCTTTCAAGTTTACCCCACGTTTTCCGAAGGCAGAGACCCTAATTCAGGTCTCTGCTTTTGCTGATTGAAGGATAGGTCTCACCACCACCCTACGTTCGGCGAGCACATGCTTCAATTTTCACTCCTTTGGGATGCAGATTTCAGGATCCGATTCATTCGCTGCATTATGCCGATAGTCACTCGCACCGACCACAGTTCTCATGTTCCCTTACACAGCAGGCGCAGCACCGAAGTGTACGTCTCCATTGAATGTTGCCCCAGTATATTGTCATTCGAGCTGAGATGCTCCCTGCATAGTCATAATCATCGCATGCCATCGCCACGCCACCGTGACAGGTTTTGTGAATCTGCTGACGTTGCCCCCGCAGCCACGAGGACGGCTTGATGTCCCTTGTCCAACCATATGAGGTGAGCAATTACAAGCCTTGCCCTCTCTGGCGTGATAGCGGGACTTTCCGTGCCTCAGGACCAGTATATGTACCCAGACGGCGACGATTCCTAACCTCCAATAGGCTGAGAGAGAGTTGACAGAGCACACGGCTCACGATGTTCTCTTCCCTCACGTATCTATTGGCAGGTCTCGTCCTCGTCTGCATAGTAGCATTTCGCTTTAGAAGACGCCCGCACTACCCGCCGGGTCCCAAAGGACTGCCCATCGTTGACAAATTTGCTCGACATGCCTGATGAATATGGGTGGATAAAATACAAGGAAATTGGACAGCAGTACGGTGTGTGTCCAGTTATCTCTTACACAGTCTTCCGTCAATGACCGACTGTTGTATAGGGTTGGACGTCATCCACTTTGAAACGCTCGGGTCGCACATCGTGGTACTCAACAGTGCAAAGGCTGCGGAAGATCTTTTCGCCAAACGGTCAAACATCTATTCAGACAGGCACGGACGCACATTGACACAATAGTGGCAGTGCTAAACAAATCTTATAGGCCACATTTGGTTATGCTGCATGAATTGTGCATGTTATAGTCCCTGCGCAAGGTGACTGCTCTGATTTAACCATAGAAATGGTGTTCACCGTCTTTGGTCCATGGCAAAGTACGGCGATAGTTGGAGAAAGCATCGAAGGCTATTTCACCAAGAGTTTTGCCTATCCGCGATGCCACAGCATCATGCAAAGCAAGCCAAAGCAGTTCGCGTTCTGCTTCAGTCTCTGTTGGACTCTTCAGAGGAATTTCCGGAGCATATTCATTTGTGATGGCGGTTATCTCTAAGCCGCTTGTACGATGTACTGACCTTGATATTTTAGCATGGCTGGGGCTTTGATACTCGATGTTGTGTATGCCTTTGATGTGCGTCCCAGTGATTCTTGGTTAGCGCTCGTGGAAGGGACGGTGCATGCGGTAAGTGAAATCGCCAGTAGCGCCTATATAGGTATGTACCGCCTCTCCGTGTATCGACATAAAACTGACACTGTCTCTAGTGGATATAGTCCCTGTTTGTAAGCCAGTCTGACTTACTCTCTATGATACATCTGATGAAGCCTTCAACAGTAAAGTATCTCCCATCCTGGTTTCCCGGAGCCGGCTTCAAGCGCCTAGCCACCAAGAAGAAGATTGCAGTCAACAATGCTACCGAGGCTCCTTACGATCAATTAAAGGCATCGATGGTATGGACCTGCTACTGGAGTGGTTCTCATTTGACCCTGTCTCTTCATACATGTAGCAAGAGGGAAATGCAAAGCCCTGCTTTGCAGCTTCCCTGCTTTCTAGGGTTGAGAGCGGCAAGAATACGACAGATTTGGACCAAGTCTTCATGTCCCTAACTGGGACAGTCTATGGAGGTATGCTATGCACATAGCGTATCGGTCGTTGCGCTAACGTCTTCATTCACACAGCCGGATCAGATACAGCGAGTGACACAACGCAGAGTAGATGGATGGTGGCTCATTTGCATTAGACAATATCAACTCTTATGACATTTGTGCTGGCTATGACTATGTTTCCTGAAACACAGGTCGCAGTCCACGCGGAGCTCGATCGGGTATTGGGTAGGAATTGTTTGCCTGAGATAGAAGATCAAGAGTCTCTTCCTCAAAACACTGCTATCATCAACGAAGTTCTACGGTTCGTGTCCCTGTTGCGCTGGAGCTTGCATTTTTTCATATCACTCATAATTGCATAGCTGGCATCCTGTTGCACCTCTTGGTAGGTGGACGTGCTCAACTTCGGTGCTGACGTTCATAATATACTATTAGGGCTTCTACACCAGACCACCACCTCCGACTACTATGGAGAGTATTACATTCTGGCAGGAACTGTCATCCTAAGTAACATCTGGTACGTATGACACTGCGTCTTGAGATTCCGTCTGACTTGCAGTTGCTAGGGCTATGCTATATGACGAGAACGTCTTTCTCAGTCCCAACATATTCAAGCCGGAGCGGTTCCTTGACAAGGGTGGCTCGCTGAGGGACGACATACCTTATCCCATTGAAGCATTCGGTTTTGGGCAGCGAATTTGCCTAGGCCGCTACTTTGCGCATGATATCGTGTGGCTGGCTGTTGCGCAAATACTCACTGTGTTCAAAATTGAGCGCGCCATCGACAAGAGCGGGAACGAGATTCGGCCTAAGGGAGAGTTTACCCCTCACCTCAGCAGGTGAGCAGACGCAGTGCTGATATATAATTGGCGGGTTTGTATGCTGAGACGGGCATCCAGTTCTCCAAAACATTTCAAGTGTAGATTCACCCTACGGTTCCCTGAAGCCGAGACCCAGGTTTGTTCGGCTGCTTTTGACACGTTATGGATGGCTCTGGCTGTTCCATAACGTTCCACAGTCGTATACTCCTTTTGTTTGACCTTCAAGTTGAGTTCGTCCTGACGTCAGTGGATGTGGAGACTCCACGTAATTTTGGCCCCGGAATGAGTTGCTTATACGTATATGTCAATGTGTCGCTGATTGCTGTGAGGCATATGCTCCATGGCGGAGGACGGGGCAAACTAGAATGAAGCCTGTAGCGAGAGCTCGGCTGGTCGCAGAATTTGTGTCTTATCAGCTCGGGCATCCATATCATACGGTCCCCTCCTTACGGCTCAGTGGCTTGCGGAGTTTGGGACAGGTACCCTGTAACATGTGCCGCGGCGGAGAGCTTGGTGCACATAGGCTAGACGTCCAGAGCGACTAAAGAACTCTAACCCGAGCCCACTTTGGCTGGGGCCTCGCATAGTGGTATCCCGACTGTTTTCCTCCCAATTTTTTACATTAAACCTCTGTATTAATGTACTTTTATTATTATGTGAGCCACAAATAGGGCAAAGCTGGGCCAGAGGGCAGTCTAAATATATTTTGATCTATTTTTCGCATTTTCTTTTTGCAAAATGTGCGCTGAAAGCCTCAAAATAGCTTGTGATATTGTAAATGGACCTGCTTAAATACTACAAAAGCGCTCTACATGTATATGTGCTATTTATTACGCCTTTACATTCTCTAGCACATGAATTCAGGTGTGGGAGGGCGCGCTTGCCTGATTCGGCAAGATGCGCTCGTGCACCGCTGTCCGGCGCACATGGCTCTGTAGAACCGCGAGCAAAGCAAGTGAGGAGCTTTTGGGGGGGGGGGGGAAAGGGAGTACCCGGGCACTTCTTCCCCTTCTTTTCTAACCTCTCCCGCCCTGGCTGACCTTTGCCATGACCAAATTGCTGCCACAGCGCTCATCTCCTGCGCTCCGCCCTCCGAGTACTCGCACGTTACGGACTCACGGTTGCTATCAGTTCGATTCAACGGCAACATGCCCGCAAGAAGTTTGCACAAGGTTTGGAGATAGATCATTGGATGTTATCTAGGGCTACTCATGTGAAAGTTTATCGCTTTGCACCAGCCACCGCATCAGAACATGCAATATGAGGGCGATTGATCCCATAGTGTATGTGCTATCTAACCATCTTACTGTAAGTGAGCATAGTCAAACTCTCACCATTTTTGTGTGCTCGCAGAAATTCTCATATGACGCTTTTGCTGTGACTTGTCGCTGCGCAGATATTCACAACGAGATATTGATGAGGTTTAAACGACGCAGAGCACTGAAGAGAGCTCATTCATCACGGTGCTCTGAATTTATTTGCTCTTTGTTTCATCAAGCGAGTGAATGATGCATTGTCCAAGAATGTTGGATACCGAGAAGAATATTTGTGTGAAAGACATAAGCACCCAAGAGTCCCAAAAAGACGCCTTGTAATTTTACTGATGTACTTATCATTCCTGGGACATTATCCTAGCTATGAACCATATGTAGACTCATTTTCAGTCTACTCGGCAGCTAGTTCAACGGTGCTCGTGTAGAATAGGATGCTCGGGTTTCCATAGTACTACAGCTCAATGAATGAGGTCCGACAGGCCTTGCACTTGAATCTATGCCCAATCTAGATCCATAGCCCCAAAAAAGTAAACGCTCTGGTGAAGAGCTCGACGGTGTTGATGACAGCAGCATCAGCAGCATCCTGCATTTCCGCACGGTCTCTTTCCATGCACAGCGAGACAACAACGAATACAAAGTGTATGCACAGCTCAACGAGAGCTATCCTCTTGGCTCGATATTGCTATCACACCCAATACACTCCATCAACCAGCCGAACAAGATGAACAGCACGACCTGCTCCATCCATCCATCCATCCCTACCGGCGCCTTCCTCTGGGTATCACGTGTCAATGCCACACCCCTTGCAGCTTTCGCTACCGTTCATAGTTACCCCGTTGCTGCGGCCTGTCACGTAGATCGTGCCAAGTGCACGTGCGCTCACGTGGTATATTCTGTGTGTTGTGAAAGAGCTGTGCAATGCGTGGTTTTGCACGTCTGCAAACTCTGACGCACAATTGGTGGGCCAGAACTGAGTGCAAGGACTGGAGCGGCAGCAGCAGTCACGGTTCGGCGGTAGGTACCCATAGCACTTTTGCAGTGCAGCAAATAATGTTTTTAGACAGTAGATGAGTTAAAAGGCGTGCTCTCCTTGCCACAGAGAGAGTGAGCAAGTGTATAAGCGACTATCCAAGAAGCAGTTAACAGATGTCCAAACAGGTATGCGACCCTCTATCTCCAAAAGTTTCAGTTCGGCGGCCTAGACATGCGAACTTATTAAGTTACACCGGACTAGCCACTCAAAAGCGCCCATGAGTGGCTAAGACACACGCGCACCTTGACCTTCAACCACCACTATCTACCTTAGATGCCCACATCGTTTGAATCTTGCTCTCCATTTCCGTCGCCCATTGTTACATTCCCACTTCCCTATCCCCTTTGAACTTATTTTATCTGTTTAGGTGCTGGGTTCGCTACCACCTGAAGAGCGGTAATGGGCCCAACGATGCTTCCAGAAGACCTCAGGCTGGGTGTCAACTGTGAAGCATCTAGCCACGGCGTCAAGTCACCTCCATCGCCAACACCTCAACAACAGCTCAGCCCTCGCAAGAAGCTGACGCTGTCATCTCTGCCCAGCGGAATGTGGTCGCAGAGACCAACAGCCAAACCTGAGCCCTTTGGGGCAAAGGAGAGGCAGGGAGAAATCCCACGAGCAGCCTGGCTGCTCGAGACCCTCAACAGGCTAACGCTCGGGAAGGGAACTTTAAGCCATCTGACTTGTCAGGTCAGCAACAACGTGCACTCTATGAGCACCAATATGATTATCTGGCCCCTGCCTATTGTTATTGGCACAGATCTTGGAATCGAAATTTGCAGGGTTCACCTACCCACTGTCTGTGCGTTGATAACCCCTCTATCAAAGAAGGCATCAACTTACAATATAAAAACTGACAGGTACCAAGCCCCAAATCCTGCACTCGTTCAGCCCATCGAGTACTCAACCTGTAAAAAAATCCATAACATCCTTGCAAGCCATGTCTGCTTCCCGCAATGAAATGACCGATCTTCTAGCCTAGGTGAGAGAATCAAACCTCAGTGTATTGTTACACAGGCTCACACTACTATTGCTCAGGCTAACCACATGCTACAAGAACGAGCAGCACAGCCATCTCCCGAGGGCATGCACATGGTTCCCCGACCTGTCACCCCGAACCATGAGCCGCCCCCCACGTTCCTCTTCCAACTGGGCTTTACCAGTCATCACAATAAGACCAGGTTCGACAACAAGTCCAAACCAAGCACCCCCACCCACGTACAACACGCGATCTCGGCCCATAGCCACCCGGGATCAATGGCTCCCCTTGTTGAGGAGCTTGAAAGGCCGTCGGGCATCTACAACCTAGGCGGTAGAGGCCAAGGCCCCACCACAACCTCCGTCATCGAATGGCCCAGGTCAGGAGACAATGAACCCTGGTCCTGTAACGCTGACATTCCAATCGGGAGTGACTTCCGCAACTGGGACGACGCCAAAGTGAAGTTCCTACAGGCCATCCATACCCTTGTCTCTATCAGGGACACATTCTACATTGGCAACTCCGACAACGCTAACTCCTCCTTTGCCGATCTGGTGTGGGCCACATTTTTCCACTTAATGTCTGAGGAAGTCACCACCATACCCAGCGACCTTGGCGACGACAAATCAATCTACCTGGGAGAAGCTATGAACAACCTCACCAACTGCTCCCCAGTCACCATATTCACAAGAGTACTCAGTGAGCTTAACGCCACCTGGTACGACTCACTGTCCCACACCCAACGACGATCTGCCATCACAATCCTCATATCCCCTGCCATTGAAAAGCTAGCCAACATGGTAGCTGTCATGGACCTCTCCAAATGTGTCGTGGCTTATGAAGACGAGGAGCGAACACTTGTCAAAGCCATAGACCGCGATGTACGCAATTTGGAGACCACCATCACCAAGTCTCTGTCACATGTTGACGTCCAACTAAAGCTCATAGAGAACAAGCTATCCCGCGTGTCTGCCCAGGCCTCCCGCCTGAGTAACCCACTTTCAAATGCGTCGGGGGCCCTTTGCTTCACAAAGACTTCAGTGCTCACAGAATGCGCCCCATCTGCTGCAGGGGGGAAACACAAGGATGTTTTGGTCTTCCAGACAAAGGCCCCAAACGCGGGAAGGCCAATGACGGCACCCCAATGTCTCAAACAGCAGAAGCTCTACCCCCCATGCCGTCCACCTTCACTATGCAGGATGTCTCTCAGTGCATCCTGGTCGTTACTATGGTGATCAAAGCAGGATATGACATCAGCTTCGAAGCCGCCAAGGTACTTGTCAATAAATTTGGCGACATCTCGCAATGTCAGGCCGAATTCATCCAAGCACACGGTAGGGCCTCCACTGGCCCTATCCAAGCCTCGGTGGTCAACGCAGCGACCACCACGGCCAGTAACATTGGAGCTCCAGTCCAGGCAACCCTCGACAGCGGGTTTTACACGCTCAAAACTGCTCGCATTGCGGAGAAGTCCAACAGCGTCTCCAAGGCGCTGAACCAACATAAGGAAGCAGCAAAGATTGCTTCAGCCACCCACACACAACCCCCGAACGCACACCAGAAGATTGTCCAGGTCCAATTCACCAATGACACACTCCCCTTAGAGGGAACATGACAGTCATCCGAAGATGTCCAGGCCTTTGTTGCTGCGCAGATCAACAAAATTGGGGGAACATCTAACTCCGTCTTGTCCACCACCTATCAGGGATCTTTCCTCAACCTACTATTCATCGCCCGCCCTGAAGAAGCAATGATTACACAGCTCAGTGAGATGAACAGTTGGTTTCTGAACCAAGGCTCTGAAGAGGTTTGCAACGCCACACTGTGGTCCATTGTGGACTTTTACAAGCCCATCACACGCATGAACATCTTCGGCATCCCCATGCTGGACGCCAAGGCCAATGTCAAACTTATAGTCGAGGAGGTCTACGCCACCCTTGTTACAGAGAACAAGTGGCTGCAAGGTCTGATACTAGACCCAATGTCGTTCCCCCACATGTTGCTATATGCCCCGGTAGGGGACACCTGCACTGCCCAGGTATCCATCATTGACGGAAACCCCTCCTACGTGGAAACGTGGGTTATGCAATGTAAGTGAGTTTCCTTCAGGAACAAGAAGTACACTATTGGTCACGCGCGACCGCAGACGTTTGTGCCCCTGTATCTGAAGTGTCTCAAATGGGGACATGTTGGAGGGGCATGTGGTATGGGTGGGAAGTTCAACTCCACCGTTCTGTGTTACAAGTGCAGCCTTATGCACTTCACGGAACAACATCAGTGCGTACCCACACACATTAATTGCACGAGACTGAACACCAAACACATAGAGCATTCTGCCAACACAAGGAGTACAAGCAGACAAGGCTTGACATCCTTAACCCATGGGTGGAGAACTGCCTGCCGGGACATGCTAAGTGCCGCAATTGTAAAGCGTGGGGCCACTCGGCCACCTCCACATTATGCCCGTGCTGGAAGCTCTGCATGCAACCAGAAAAACTCGAAGCCTTCTGGAAGAGAGAAGGAGTGGACGACGCTACTATCCAGGCCCTCTCTGAGGGCTATAACCTGGAGCGTGAGAATTGCCTGGAGGCTAAATGCTTGGGAGGACACACGGCAAAGGGCGAAGATGCATCTGATCCTATTAGCCAAAGTCATGAGACCAAACCCCAACCATCCACCGCAGTTGCAGACTACGATGAGGACATGTACTTGTAATATTACGCAATCCTACCCATACCAATACATAAAGGGCTTTAGCCACTTGTACACATATAAAACAATACGACCTCATGGAACGGCGACTCATACAGCCTTCACCATGAAGTACATCTTCTTTAAAGAGAGCATGGACAACTACCGCATACAGCTCACCACAATGTGGCCGCCCACCTTCCTCTTCTTCGAAGAATTTGACCTACCTGCCAAAGAAACATTCCAGGTGGTCCTGTACATCCCTAACATGTTCAACGATGACCTCGCTTGGGGTAACAGAGGAGATTGGGTCTCCACCAGGCTCGCATCTCCCACCCACTCTCCGGCCTTGCCGCCCCCACCTGTGCTCGAGTTCGAGCTTCCCATCATTGCTGACGATGAAGATGCCGCCTGGGAAGATGTTCCCACCAACTCCCTGCAAATAGGCTCCTTGTGCATCTACCAGCCCTGTTGGGAAAACAGGGCCGAAGGATCGAGCCCATGGGTTGACCTTGCCCAACTTGAATGGAGGTTCGAGGACGCTATCCACAAACAGCAGCGAGGAGTTCGTCTCTTCAAGGCCGTAATCATCGATCTGGTGGTTAACGTACCCGTCCGAACTGAAAAACACCCAGCGAGGGGGAAGTTCAACATCCCCCTCCACTACACGTACCTCCTCGAAGAGATTATCAATGGAGCGTCAGCCAAGGTATCCGCCCTCAAACAGCTACAGGTATGTGCCCACAAGCACGCTCACTTACAATTTTACTCATCTCGACAAAGGGGGACATGGATCCTACTGTCAAAGGGAAACTCCTGGATAACACCATCGAGACCAGACTCTCCATGGTGGGAGCAGAGACGGTCACAAGCCGCAGCAACCTTGCTGATCTCATCAAGGCTGCTATGTATGATCAAAGCCTCAAACAAAAGGATGCTTTCGTCCTCCTAAAAATGGCCAAACATGCCTCCACACGCCATGAGAGCAACATCAATGACCTCTACCCAGTCGTCAGCCTCCCGTTCACCTCCCACCTGGGCCCCACCATCAGTAGCCCAATGGTAGAATGCACTAGCGAGATCACAGAAGCCCTCGGACCAGGCATTAGTTGGAATCACCACGATGACAAATTCAACCCCAAAGACTTTGGAGAGCACAATGATAATATGGAAGGGAAATGTGCTTGGTAACGAAGCCTCCCACTACGTCTTCACTTGTATAACAAAGAATACCGTTGTTGCCTATGAGTAGTACAACAAATGATCAGGATATGAGAGCGGGACCAAAAGACTGCACTTGTGACCACATCGAAAACAAATCAACAACTGAGAACGAATATAATTTCGATCTCTTGCTTGACAACAACAAAACAGTGGACCACAAAAACAATACAAGTATTGATTATCTAGAAAACATGTACCAGTATGATTGGGACACAGATATCGAGGAAGAAACATCCTCTGAAACAGATGACCCTGAAGAACTTCCCCCTCCTATCGATATAAATCAGATGAGAGTGGAAGCGGAAGCTAGAGTAAACATACCAAAGGACTCACAATCTCCCCATAATAAAGCAAAACGACTGTTCACAGTGGTCTCATTTAATGTACAGAAATCTAGGGATAACCTTCAGATATTCCTAGAACGAAACTACAAGACAGTAGATGTTGTACTAGTACAAGAACCCTTTTGGGGTTATGTCAAGCAAGTCATGTGCACCACGTCGAAAGACAGAGACGAGTACCATCAAGGAATAACTCATAGACAATATATGTTCCTTGGAGCATCTGAGAAAGAACATGTGTGCACTGTTGTCAATAGACGATGGGCTCACCTTGCACCAAGACTTAATACGGATGTCGTAAAACATGATGATGCCCAATGTTTGGAGCTAACCATGCCCAACAAACAAATCATTTGTATACTCAATGTGTACAACGACTCCAAGACACATAGTGCCCAACACTACCTCAAGAACAAAGCCAACGACCTGCCAGAAATACATCTCATGGCAGGGGATTTTAACCTACGACACCACATGTAGGACTCCACAGTTCCCATCAACGCCAGGGCTAACCACCAAGCGGAAGACCTTATCAAGATGTGCACACTGGACATGAATTTGTTCTTAAGCACATCACCTGAACAAGTTCATACATGGTCATCTAACAGAGAAGACCAGAGCAATGGGACACTTGACCTAGTATGGGCCAACGAAGCCCTCAACATGCTCAGTGTCAAACATAGACATGACCAACAGGTTAATAGTGACCACTGCCCAGTATATACAAAAGTCGACTTAGAAACAGTTGACGATGTCAGATACACAGTAAAGAGAGGCTCTGAAAAAGGCCACAACTTTATTAAATTGTGCCGAGGTCACATTGCAACCATGCCCACCAGCATTGATGATTACGCCTCTGAGGAGGACATCGAATGTTGGGGAGACTGGATCCAATATACGTTTGACACAGCATGGTCCGCTAATGTCAAAAAAGTCACCCCTTCTCACCACACTAAGTCTTGGTGGAATAGCAAGTGCAACAAGCAGGCTAAGGAGTTACGCAACATCCGCACTGACGTTAAATCCTTAAAAAAGGTCATACAATGGAGGCATAAGTTAATTCGAGCCCGATATACCATAATTAATCACCTGGGTATATTTGAAAATAAAGACAAACTGGTGATTAATCTCCAGAATAAAAACAATATAGCTGCTATCTGTCTTATTGAGGAAGCCCAGAAAATAAAACAGCGTCCAAGTGACTGCAAGGGGCAGCCAAGAGAGCTAAATGCGACTTCTTTGAAGAAGTGTTGAAACATACACATCCGTCGAGAATATGGAATAATGTTGAATGGACCAAGCCGAGAAAACAAACGGCTAGTGTTACTCTTACTAACAATCAAGGGGAAATCGTCACTGATTTGAAGGGAGTTGGTGAAATATTCCAGCAACAATTCACCCCGACTAATGGTCGACCAGTAGATATAAACATCACCAAAGAAATGGAACAGCTCGAAGAAAGAGCCTTCCCACACATGAGTTAGACAGAAATGTGTGACGCCCTAAAGGGCACAAGCAACTTCTCGGCACCGGGCCTGGACCACGTATCGTGGTTTTGGCTCAAGAGAATACTCAGGGACAAATTTAGCCCGAAGTACAGAAATGACGAAGAGTCAGATAAAAAAGATTGCAAGCTACCCATACTTATATTCTATGACACTTGCATAAAACTTGGTATACAACCAAAGGTATTCAAGGTCTCCAAAACAGTTATCATTGCAAAGCCGAAGAGACCTGACTATACCAATGCGAAAGCCTACTGCTCCATTGTACTCCTAAATTGCTTAGGCAAACTAATGGAGAAAATAATATTCCACAGGATGCAATTTGAATCACAGAAATATGGTGCTATGCACCCATGTCAATTTGGTGGTACAATGCAACACAGTACTACAGACGCAGGGATACAACTTGTCCATAACGTTAAACAATTGTGGAAGAAGGGAATTGACTCATCGGCCGTCCTTCTCGATATTGCCCAATTTTTCCCGTCATTCAACCATGAACTCTTGACAAAAATCCTGTCGAAACAGGGATTTGCCGGGAACCTATGCAAATACTTTGTCAGCTACCTTTCAGATAGACAGACACAGTTCATATTTAATAGGGAAACTCTCGACTCTATGGACTTCTCTTTGGGAGTCAGACAGGGCTCAAGCCTCTCACCCATATTCACGGGACTATACCTAGCCCCAGCCATGGATAAAATCGCTCCTTTAAAAAAGGCAATAACTCCTACCTTAGGTAACAACTGAGTAACGGTCCGCACTCAGCGGACTGACAAAAACATACAAGCCAACAAACATGCCACTGTGCAATTCTTTGTTGATGATGGCCTCATCCACGTTGGAGGCAAACTAGGAAAGGCGTCTGAGGACCCTGACCATGAACAGTTACTGTATAACAATGCCCTGATACAGGAAATTTACTCTAAACTCATACACACACTACACAGATTAGGATTGTCAGCAGAAACTGATAAGCTAGAGCTAATGCACTTCATTAGGAGGCGTAAAGCCAAAGGTTGGACTTGGAGTGACTCGCACCCGCTGGGCCCCAAACTACGTGTACATGACAAAGAATCCTCCTTCGTCATCAATCCCAAACGAGTAATGAGATATTTGGGCTTTTGGCTAGATCCTAAGCTTACGTTCAGGGATCACATTAAAGTATATACCAACAAAGCATGTAGCACTATTGCAGCAATTCACATACTAGGAAACTCGTCTAGAGGACTTAACCCAAGAGACAAGAGGAGGATATATATCTTTAATGTCGTACTCCTACTCTCTTACAGAGCACAATTATAGTCGAACCTCTCATGAAAAGGTATCCATTGGATAGATAAAAAACTATCCAAGGTCCAAAGCCGAGCAGCGCATTGGATAACGGAAGCATTCAAAACCACTCCTGTAGGCTTCCTTGAAATGGCTGCAGGGTTAATATTCGTAAGGCAAAACATAAATAAGTTAATGAAATGCGCTGCATTACGCACACACATGCTGCATGAAAACCACCCTATAAGAGCACATATGCCAAACTTAATAGAGTGTGGGCCAAATAATATCAAGGCACCACTCCTTTACCGAGGCACCAAAACCAGAGATGCTGAAACCTCAATAGTCACCGCTTACAAGGTCACAGAGGGCTTCACTGAAGAATTTAACTCCATCAGTACGGAAGCTCAACCAGGCAACTGCATACTAGACCTGTATTCTCACCGTATTACCGTGAGCCTCGAAGGTCCACCAAAAGCCCAGAAAAATGAACTCCAAGATTGGATAAGGGAATTCCTTAATCCCATCATAAAACTAGCCACCACTGATCACGAGAGCCAGGCAGTATTTACTGATGGCTCACAACATAAAAAACATGAAGAAAATGAACCTGAAAAGGTTATCACTGGAGCAGCCTGCTTGGTCACATACACCATTGAAGGAGGTGTCCAGAAAATCATCGAGAAAAAGATTGGGTGCAGCCAGGTCACACCTTTCGATGCAGAAATGCAAGCCCTTTGGATGGGCATTAACACTGCCTGCAACACCCTAGAAAAACACAAACTACTATACCTATTCGCAGACAATAAAGGAGCATTACAACACATCTTAAATCCGAGGATTGGCCCCTCACAAAAATGCTCTCTCCTGGCCAGTAAACACATACGGCACTGGCTGGAGAAAGACCCAGAATGGACCATACACATGTTGTGGTGTCCTAGAAATGTCAATGTGCCACTAAATAAACGGGCTGATGCCCTCACTAAAGAGTGATCTGAACTTACACAACCAGTGATTAAATCTTACACCTACATCAAGCAAAAGATCACTGAAAACAAAGTTCGCATATGGCAACAAAAGATCAAGGAGTCCTCTAAATACAGAGAACACCAACTAATAGCAGGCAATCATCATAACCACCTGCGACAAATTAAACATACGTCCTTGAATTGGTTCATTGCCCACAGTAGGGGAAAGAACCAAGAAATAGGCAGACTTACAAGGCTAATGTCTGGACACGCACCGATTGGAGCGTTCCAACAGAGGTTCAACTTAGAAGGACCCACTACGTACTGGTACTACCACCATGAACTGGGTCAGACTACGATAGAAACAAGGGATCACATAATGTACATGTGCCCAGGCTGGAGCCATCTACACAACTTTAAGGAAATGCATGTCACGGAACACCCGCAATATGACAAGACAAAGATAGAACACTGTCTTAAAACTGACACAGAAGTACGCAAAATGCATCGCGCATACTGGCAAGTGCAAAACAAGCTGGACAAAGTCGAAGAACTAACTGAATACAGCCAAGATATTAATTACAGAAAGAAAATACTGGGCACCAAGTGGGAAGACATCTACCACTTCATGCGATCCAACCCCATGGCAGGTACATTTGGATGATCTGACCTCATTGACAAAGTGTTCGATGGTGCCAACAAAGGATGTGACTATACAACTTCAGTCCATATATGGAAAGCTCTCATGCACTTGAAGAGATGCAAGGAGAAATTTAATGATTACACCAAGGAATTAGAACAATGCTGCAGAGCTACTTACTCAAGCGCTGCTCGTCATCATAACCGTCTCCTTACACCAGGGGACATACCCATGGATTTGGAAAAGTGGCAACAGTCATACCCTAACCCAGACCAAGCTGAACGAAAATTCACACAGTGGTATGCAAAGTATGCAGTATCTCGATACTGAATACTCTTCAACCACAATGAGGGCCTCCCAGTGGCTGAGCAAGAGGCATTAGCGAGAGAGTTTGGCTACAGGAGCAAATACAAACCTGTAGGAAAAACTTTCGAGGCGTTCTCTGATGCTAAAGACCCACCTGCAGACAAGGATGACTGGGGAAATCAGGTTGACAAGGAGCACAGATGAACGTGTGAATCATTATAGGACAGCTGGAGAGTAACCGTCTGACCACCGGTGACCATACCTCACAGGGGTCACCATGATAAATTTTGTGTTTCGGTTAGATAGGGCGAGGATGAGGGGACCCATTAGAGGTATGTCTAATGTTTGGTGCGGTAGAGTCCATCAACTGACTCAGTGCTTGTGCGAGGCCAGGGCCATCTGGTGTGGTTCTGCAAATCCTCTGTGCTCCCAGACCTTAGATTGACCAGGTGAACCAGCACGAACCCTGTTTTGGCTGTAGCACAGGCCCTTATGTAGCAGTAGCTCTACAGGCCTTTATAAACAAGCAGAAAAAAAAGAAGAAAAAGTGGCTAAGACACTGAAAAGCCCAAAAAATGGCGCAGACAGAAATCAAACCCATAGCCTAAAAGTAACCATGGCGCGCTATACCACTAAGACATAATACCTTGCAAACACTGGGTTGAGATTGGCCTATAATACCACTTTTCCACCTTAAAGTCTTAGCCATAACATCAGAATATGCCTTTGTACAATTACATTCCATTGCTTTAATATATAATAATTGGCTAAAATATAGGACTTTGGGCAGCTAAAACACTGATGTGGCTAAGACACCAGCATATGAAGGTCCGCGGTGGACAAAAATAAAATGATCTCTGCCTGCCAAAGCTATGAAACTCAAACTCATTCTTGAGGCATGACAAGATCTGCTATTTTGCAGATTTTTGCAGAATAGTGCACACAGATGCACGCAGATGCACTAAAATACACACAGATGCACATAGGCACACTTACTTGCCCACTTGTGAGCCAAAGCATAGTTCGATAAAACTGGATTTGGTATGCATGTCAATCTTGTATTCTCTCAGATGCTTGTCCAGGTACAAAAGTGCACTTACATGTAAGATAGTGTATTGAAACCTGCCACCCTATGACATCATGCCTGAAATTGCCATTTGATGCGCCGGCATAGTAGAAGCGCGCTACAAGCGCTGGCAAAAACAAGTTTTGATCAGGACGAGAACGAGTTTTTAGTGAGCGAGATCAAGATTTTGGAGAATGAGAATCTAAAACAAGTTGTTATCATCTGAGTTTGAGTTGTGAAGCTATTGATAATGTGCACAATTGTGCACAAAGGCGCATAATCTTGGGTGCACCATTGTGCACATTTGTGCAAAACATCGTGTCTTGATAAACACTCAACGAGATCAGGAAAGGTAGCCATGCACGTATGTGCACTTTTGCGCACTTTCATGCATGGTCATACCCTACCATGCATGTTGGTATGCCAGAGCTCATTTCTGTTCCCAAAGGTAAGCATTGCTCCAACTAGGCAGGCAATAGCTTGCTTACTATTAATTACAGGCAGCAAAAATGAGATTATAGAGGGTCTACGAGCTCGAGATTTTATTTTTGTCCACCATGGACTGTCATACCAGCATGGCTAAGACATTGAGACATTGAATATTTTGCCATTGATTCCACTTGAGTATAATTCATCTACTCAGGTGTCTGAGCCACACTGGTGCTTTAACCATGCCATTAGAATATACATATGTACAATAAGCAGAATCAATAGCAGATGTTCAATATCTCAATATCTTAGCCATGCTGGTGTCTTAACCATAACATTAGAATCTAGAAACTCTTCGCAGTGAGTTTCTCACACGCAGGGCCCGGCTTCGACTGTCGGGCGCGCTTGAGGCTAGCAGAACGGATGCTCAGTCCGTAGCTCAGAAGAAGGGAAGTCTCTGAGATGTATTTACCTAGCAGAACGGATGCTCAGTCTGTACTGCAATACAGTCAGTACCCTACAGTGTCCATAATGAGAGGATATACGCACGCTCAGAAGAAGGGAAGTCTCTGAGCGTGCACGACAGGGAAAAGCGAGTAAATAAGGAAAGCGGCAGGTGCCTTAGCAACTGGTGAGTCAGGAACGAAATAACGAACACGCTATCTAATAAAATACTGTCCAATAGGAATCTGAGTCATCCCAAGACATGTGCGTGCGAGCGCACGAGCCCAAAATCCAACATAGAATACACCTTTGTACAATTACATTACATTGCTTTAATATCTAATAATTGGCTAAGATAACTTTGGGCAGCTAAGACTAAGGTGGGAAAGTGGTATTATAGGCCAATTCCAACCCAGTGTTTGCAAGGTATTATGTCTTAGTGGTATAGCGCGCTGTGGTTACTTTCAGGCTGCAGGTTTGATTCCTGCCTGCACCATTTTTTGGGCTTTTCAGTGTCTTAGCCACTTATGGGCGCTTCTGAGTGGCTAGTCCAGTGTAACTTAATAAGTTCGTGTGTCTAGGCCACCAAACTGAATCAGCTCCTATTTCTAAGAAATTATGGAGATTAATGTGCTCTTTGACTTTCAGGGCCTATAGAAGTGGGACAACACTATGACAGAGATGGACGCGCCTTTCAAGTATTGCGATGAGTTAATGCATTGCACGAGCATTCCAGCGCATACACATATTGCTTCAGGAGGTGCAGCAAGGGGTAAGGCTGTAAGTATCATTTATGACTTTTCTAAACGTGAACTGTCTGTATGTTTAAACTATTTACTGACTTCATGCACCTGTTCTTCCAGACCACAGTATGTGTATTGTCAGATTGACATTGAATAGATCAACGCTTTGTTGGACCTCGCAGCCTGCGGAATTATTAGTGCGATATCATAGCTTGTGCCTACCATGTGGCTTGAGCTGCGTGGCTCCTGAGAGTTTATAGCTTAGGTGAAGTATGGTGAGTGCACTTGTTTCTGCCAAATTTTGTGTAGACTGAGCAAAATTCTAGAGAGCAGTCGCGCGAAGAAACTGTACAAGCGATACATACACTCTGCTGCTTTCAAGAGTGACATCCTCGACATTTTGACCTACCTGGCATGAGCTCGTTACCAGCATACTCGACCACTGGTTCCTTGGCTTCATGCCAAAATTTCCTCTGTAGCCTGATTTTGGCATCCTGATGAGGGAAGTTCCCATTTCAGGGATCCTGTGACGACCCATGTGTTGAAGCGGGAATGAGCTTCAGAGGTCATCAGGGAAGACGTCGCAGTGGTTGGCAAGGTCGGAGGAGAGACACTGGGACAAAAAAACAGTGCTTAGACGAGGCTCTCAGAGAGGCAAGGTAGAAGCTCGGAGGGGGAAGGAATGGCCTGGCACGCCCACCGGTGCGTAACACTCTGTACACGTAGATGGCGCTGACCATAATGTTACTGTATACAGGACACGCTTCCACTAGACATATCCTCTCTCAACTGCAATCTCAATGCACTTGTGGCCGAGCTCACTCAGTGCTATCTTCCAGGCTGCCAGCTGCGCTGTTGCATATGCTGTTGAACTCTCTCCTGTGCCAGAGAAAATTGAAGAAGTTAATGAGAGGTGCAGGCCGAAGTGGAGTGGACAAGGCTCCATTGGCAGGCAACTTACTCCCGATGTCATCTCGGACAAGTGGGGAGCTCATGCAATGGGGTAGGGCCCAGACTTATTGCTGCAGCTCTGGGCAGTGTTCATTCCGCCAGCCAAGAACCAGACTGTCTACTATATTTCCAGTTTTTACACCCCAAAGCCTCTGCTGATGAGCTCAGATTTCAGTTCAAAACTGTCTACAGCTCCAAATTGAGCCGGAAGATTATCTTCACTGTTATGACTTGCAAGGTGGAGGACAAGGATGGCGCACTTTTTTGTATGCTTTACTCATATTTAGATAGGATAGAGAGCAGACTACTGGAGGACAAGGTAAGCTGTACAGCGTTATGTATGAGTGCGAACAGACCTTGATAATATAATTTAAAATCTCTCTGACTGCATCATAGCACTGGCATGCATATATTGGCCTGCTTGCAGATGAGATAAAAGTCAGGAATAATGTACGTTGCTTTCCCATCCTCCTGTGCTGACATCAATGTGCGATGGACCATTGAGATCAATCAGCTCAATGGGAGTTTGCTCAAAAAAAATTCCCATGGGGTCTACGTATGTATGCGTACGTATTGTAGTCTGCTGGATGCCATCAAGGAATATCAATGTGAAGGTTCTTGGCGTTTGTTGGATCACAGCCATTCTATTGGCAATGGATGCTGAAAACCTTCACGGATTCGACCACTAGATGCGGCGTTGGGACACAGCCAGAGAACAGAAGAGAAATCTAATCCCACGCCATGCTCACTATCTGATCTTTTAAGGCAAGAACCGAGCAGTGACAAGCTCTCTCTTGTCATCTGCACTGGCAAACGCGATTTACTCAGTCACAGTTTGTAGATTTTTCTAACAGGACAACGACAGAACTTGGCTGACAGAAAGAACCCCATAGTGTTTGCCAAATATGGTGCTCCCAGTTTCTTCTGAGATTCTCTCCACATACCTGTGGGCAGGGTTTGCTCTCATCTGTCTACTCGTGGTTCGGCTCCAGAAACAGCCACACTACCCACCTGATCCAAAGGGCTTGCCCATCATTGGCAATCTTTTTGATGTACCTGGAGACTACGCATGGATGTCATATATAGAGCTCAGAGAGCAATGTGGTACAGTACTCAGTTTTCTGTCTATGGAACTCAGTCGTTGACCAGCTCCTATCAGAGTCAGACATCATCCACTTTGAAGTGTTAGGGTCACACATTGTGGTAGTCAACAATGCAAAAGTCGCAAAGGATCTTTTTGAAAAGTGGTCGCATATCTACTCAGATAAGTAAGCTTGTAATAACTACTGTCCCAGAACTTGTAATACTCACTGGCTTTGCAGACAGCAGTCGGTCATGATTCATGAGTTGTGCGTGATCTTTTGAATTCCTTGAATGATTTTCTTCTCATTAAGCTGTAGAACTGGCTGGCATCATAGCTGGGCCCTTATGTAGTATGGTGATTCTTGGAGAAAGCATAGGAGGCTGTTTCATCAACACTTCCATCTGCAGGCCATACCGCAGTATCACTCGGGATAGGTGAAAGGCATTTATGGCCTTCTGCGATCATTGCTGGACACTCTGGAAAATTTTTGACAACATATCCGCTTGTGCATACGGCCCATTTCAGGATATTCATGCTGTATTGCTTACCATGAGTTAGCATGTCAGGGGCAATGATACTGGATATCTTGTATGCATTTGATGTGCAGCTAGGTGATACGAGAATAGAGTTAGTTGAGAAAGGTGTGCGCACATCAACAGAAGTTGTGAATGCCAGGGTATATTTAGGTGTGTATCACTGTTTTGTACACATAAAAGGTCTTGACATTCTCTGCAGTGGACCTGTTTCCAGCTTGTCAGTGCGCTCGGCTCTGGGCTGGCAAGATTACTGACGATGACTTAACAGTGAAACATCTTCCATCTTGGTTTCCTGGAGCTAGTTTCAAACAGCAGGCTGCCAAATGAAAGGCACTAGTTGACGGCTTGTTTGAGATGCCTTATTTTCAGTTCAAAGCAGCAATGGTATGTTTTGATCATTGAGAGTTGACCGCTGCCTTATATCTGCCTCATTCGTCTAGCGAGAAGGCAAAGCCAGGCCCTGTTTTGCAACCAGCTTGCTTTCTGCGCTTGACAATAATGAAGATAAAGCAGGCTCTGAAGAAGTCTTCATCTCTCTTACTGGAACTGCCTATGCAGGTGTGCAGCATACATGTCACATTAGCTAGTATGCTAACATGCCTATTGAACTCTCGGTTTAGCTGGAACTGACACGGTGAGCAGCACGATTTGAATCTTCAAGCAATACTAGTAGTTAATTTATTTTAGACAGTGTCGGTGCTCAATATATTCGTGCTAGCCATAACAATGTTTCCAGAGACACAACTTGCAGCCCAGGACGAAATTGACAGGATGCTAGGCAGAAAGCGCTTGTCCAACATGGAAGACCGTGAGTCCCTTCCTCAAATCACTGCTATAGTCCATAAAGTGCTACAGTGCGTAAATTGTACTTTGCATTAATTCTCGCACGGATAATAGGATAGGTGGCATCCTGCTTTTCCCCTTGGTAAGTGAGCTTTGTGTTAATTCATAGCGCACCAGCTTCACAAGATATGAATAGCACTTCTGCACTGTACCACTGCTGATGATGAGTATAACGGCTATCACATCCCAGCTGGTGCTGTTGTCATAGGCAATACCTGGTATGTTTTACCCCCCACCCCCCACCCCTCTCCTTTATTTATATTACCTGATGTTGGATTATTAGAGCCATGCTACATAATGAAGACATCTTCTCTGATCCTGACACATTTAAGCCAGAGAGATTTCTCAGTGCAGACGGCTCGCTGTGTAGCAACGTGCCATATCCCATCAAGGTATTTGGCTTTGGTCGGCAGATTTGCCCTGGCCGCCACTTTGCACATGACATCGTCTGGCTTATCATTGCGCAAGGTCTTGCTGCCTTCAAGATTGAGCACACCATCAATGTTAATGGGAAGGAAATTGAACCGAAAGGAGAATTTACTCCTCGGCTTCTCATGTACGTGAACTCCGTGTCATATGCTCATGTAAGGCAGATATTAAAACTGATACCATAGTATGCCAGAGCCCTTCAAGTGCCAATTCACCCTGTGGTTCCCTGAGGTCAAGACCCTTATTCATTCGAGTGCTCAGTAGCCAATTGAAATATTTTACGACATCCAGTATCTGAGGATCCAAGATTAATAAATGGTAGTAGCTTAATTATGCATCGCCAGGAATTCCTGGTATGTTGAGCACTGCGCACTCTGAATACCATCAGGCGTCAACTCACTGAGTAATTAAGGCCATGCTACATGAAGAGAGAGAGCCTTCCCTGATCCAAACACATTCAACCTAAGGTGGTTCTTTGACAAAAGTGGTTCACTGCGCAACAGCGGACTGTATCCCATTGAGGCATTTGGTTTTGGCTGATGGATCTGTTTGGGCCACTACTTCACACACAATATCTTGTGGTCAGTGATAGTGAACATACTTTCCATCTTCCAACTATCGAGCACACTGTCAATGAAATTAAAAAGGGAATTCTGTTTGCGCCACGCTTTGTGAGGTGAATGAATGACATGCTGTTTGCACGAGAGAGCTGCATGCTGAAAGCAATAATGTAGTATACCAGAGCTCTTCGGGTGTTGATTCACCCTGCAGTTCCCTGGAGCTGAGACATTTATCCACTCAACTGTTGTATAGCTAATAAAGGTAGTTTACAGAGTCTGACCTTGAAAGATCTGAGATAACTAAACAATGGCCACTGTATTTATCAGACTCAGAGAATGCACACCTTCACAACTGGTAGATTCTGACTAAACAGTAGTGCCCTGCACAATTAAAGGGACTGCATGTGGAGAAAAGTCAGATAGGTACATCCCGTGATTTCCAGGTTCACTAACACTGTGACCAGTTTTGTTGCAAACCAAGCTGTCATATTTCCGGACTCCCTAAGCCTCTGAGATTGAATGGTGGTGTTTTGGATAGCAAGGATAGACACGAAGTTTAAGTTGTGAGATCACATTTAGACCAGAAGAGTTCCGATGTTACAGGCGATAATGCTTTCCTTGTTGCTCAAGGCATCAATGTCAGTATCGATGAGGGCATCTATCATATTTCTGTAAGAGTATCACCACAGCAACAAATAAGCTGCAGCCTACTGTCCGACAAGAGTGAGTTAGTTACCTTGACCAATGACTCTATCAAATCCTCATCCACTTCGTCAACAACCACAGTTTCGAGGCCAGTGAGGCCTTTCTTACCACTAAAAACATGACCATCTGGAGGTACCAGCAGAGCACCTTTGCATACACGTTCCACAGCTTGCCGGTACACTCATGCGAGTATTCAACAGCAGCACCATCCATGCTTGTGAGGATAAGTGCCGCAAATGCCTCAGTGTCTTTGTCTGCACCAAGCCACAGCAGCTCATCACCTGCAAGCTTCTCGGCAGTGAGCAGGAGTATCCGTGCATTGGCAGCGCTCGCGACCTCCTCAAGACTGCAGAGAAGCACGAGCTTTATGGAAGAAAGTGTGCAGCCATTGATGTTCAAGAGCAGAAAGTAGATGACGCCCCGCTGCAATGGTGGCTTGTGTCCTTCTTGAACTCTCTCTTGACGTGGAGCAGCTGCTGTCAGTGCAGGATGTGCAAGTGTGAGATATCATTTACCAGGTGCTCCATCACTACCTGCAACGTCTGGAGGTACAAGTCAAAGTTGGGATGTTGTAGGTTAGCTGAAAACACAAACAATTAGAGACTCATTCCTCGCACAGAGTGTAGGCAGGGCCTACCAGAGCTGTTGCCATAGATAATGTCGAAAATATATGCACCGTCATTCTTGCAGCTTGTGCCAACCAGACCAGCACTGAGACATGCTCGAGGGCAACCTTGTGCATGCACCAATCACTGTCCTGGATTGTAATGAGCACTGCGAACATGACAGTCTGGGAGTTGATGAAGTGCTACGTGGCACAGTGTGCCTTGAGGAATGCTGCAATGTGCTTCAGCGCATTGCAGCATGCAATACATTACGGGCTTAGGCACATGTGGTGTGCGCAGCTGTGGCAAGACGCTCACGAGGAACTGGAGTGCGTTCGCACCGACGCAGACAAAGGGCATCATGTCAATATTCGGGGATGACCCCTAGAGCACGCTGCTCACATTGAGGAGCATGTACACATGGTGCATGAGATTGACGTATCTTGCTCTGGGCACGCTGTCCTTTGCGTGATCGGGCCAGCTGGCTGAGGATGGCAGCCTAAAGGCAACTTGATGTATGGTGGCGCACCTGCTGGGCTTCAGATCTTCAGAGTGCACCTGCTCTAATGATCAATTGCCCAGCCGTTGTCATGCACCATAATTATAAGTATAGAAAAACTAAAGAAATAATAGGTATTCAAATCAAAAAAACCGCTTACTCAGAGCTGCAAAGTAAGCATAGACACTTAAGCTTACTAAAAGTGAATCAATGACTAATAATATGACTCAGCTTCTTAGTAATCTAGAAACTATGCTTAGTAAAGGTCTATGCTCAACAGCTATGAATTACCAAAATATAGTAATACTCTAACAAACATTAGTAATAGCTTACCAATACATTAGTAAAACAGACAGAAGGCTGACTAATACAGACAAAATGCTTATTAATAAAAGTAGAAGTAGCTTAGTAATTACAGTAGAATAGAAGAGCCAGTTTTGCTATTGGCAAAGGAACAACAGGCTGAAAGGTATAAATAGGAGAGGTTCTCTGAGAACACGAACACACCAACCCACCAAGCACCACACACACTCTCAAGGATTTAGCTAGCAGCAAACCTGCAATTAATCCCCTGAGCTCTTTAGCTCTCAGAGAATAGACTCCTTTCTTTAAAGCCTAGGAAATTCCTTAAGCACAGTAGAGCCTCTGACTTTCAAATAACCTGAAGGGAAACGCCCTTGGTATAGTGCACGAGTTCACTATTTGACTAACCCTAGACTGCGAGAGCTAGTGGCGTCATTATTTGAGACTGTGGTACGTCTCCTGTAGAGCTTACAGTAATTAGACTAGCAGTAAAGAGATTA